TTTAAATGTATTATTCACTAGGAAGCAGTTGGGGTTTAAATGTATTTGTCACTAGGAAGTAGTTGGGGTTTAAATGTATTATTCACTAGGAAGCAGATGTGATTTAAATGTATTATTTACTAGGAAGCAGTTGAGATTTAAATGTTTTATTTACTAGAAGGCAGTTGGGATTTAAATGTATTATTTACTAGTAAAGAGTTAGGATTTAAATGTATTATTTACTAGGAAGCAGTTGGGATTTAAATGTATTATTTACTAGGAAGCAGTTGGGTTTAAATGTATTATTTACTAGGAAGCAGTTTGGGTTTCAATGTATTATTCACTAGGAAGCAGTTGGGGTTAAAATGTATTTGTCACTAGAAAGTAGTTGGGGTTTAAATGTATTTGTCACTAGAAAGTAGTTGGGGTTTAAATGTATTATTCACTAGGAAGCAGATGTGATTTAAATGTATTATTTACTAGGAAGCAGTTGGGATTTAAATGTTTTATTTGCTAGAAGGCAGTTGGGATTTAAATGTATTTTTTGCTAGGAAGGAGTTAAATTTCAAATGTATATCTCACCAAAACTGTTGAGATTTAGATGCATTATTTACTAGGACGTAGTTGGGATTTAAATGTATTATTTACTAGGAAGTAGTTGGGATTTAAATGTATTATTTACTTTGAAGTAGTTGGGATTTAAATGTATTATTAACCAAGAAGCAGTTTGGATTCAAATGTATTATTTACTAGAAAGCAGTTAGGATTCGAATGTATTATTTACTAGAAAGCAGTTGGGATTCGAATGTATTATTTACTAGAAAGCAGTTGGGATTCGAATGTATTATTTACTAGAAAGCAGTTGGGATTTAAATGTATTACTTACTAGGAAGCAGTTGGGATTTGGAATCCCGGGTCCTATCCCTGGGTTGGGTCAGATCTCCTCCTACTCCCAAACTCCTCTGGGCGGCCATCTTGCAACCGTGAACCAAGGGATTGGATTCAGTAACAAGTGGGTCGATTTATTCAGGCAGAGCGTGTAGTGATCAACTTGACTAATTAGAGTGACCAACTGGACTAATGACCATAGATTTGTGGTGTAGGATGTTTAGAAATCAACGAAAAATATATTACAAAACAATGAAACTTTATGTCTGTACTGTAATGACTGATTGCAGTACCTATTATGTACATATTGTTGACTACACTGCCATGCACAGGAGACTGGTTGAACAACTGCTACATAGACTTTTTAAGACGTTAGTACATTAATATTTAACAAAAAAAGAAAATAAGTATTTTATTTTTGTATAAAATAAAAATCTATTTATAAATAAATAAAAAAGCTCTCAAAAAATTGGTTTCTTCAAACACTTTACAGGAATTGAACTATTCTATGATTTATGATTTGATAAAAAAAATCAAACGTTGAATTGATAATTTTCTTGAACAAGTAAAACATTTGCTTTTTTTCTTTTCATTTTCCTTCTTTATCTTTCTTAACTTTTCACATTTATTCTTCTCTTTCTTCTCTTTTTTATCATTTTTTCAGAGTGTGTACAGTGTACACTCACCCACCACATATTGTACAGATCACTGCAGTCTAGATGGAACAAGAGTTGTCGAAGTTACGTTTATTTGTTTGGAACCCATGGTATTGTTTTTATACGTCATAATGTGTTCACTTTGACAACTACATAAAGCGGTTATTTTAAAGCAGATATCGTTTGATATAGTTGATAAACGTTTTGGGTCGATTTTTCAAATCATTTAATGAAACTTCTAACATTTCAAAACTATATTATGTTAAAGTTTGCTTTGATTAAACTTTGCAATATTTATGTCATAAGAGACAAAAGTAAAAACAATCGTTTTATAAAACATTCGTGTTTTGCATATATCATATATATGCATGTTGTGAGAAAAGCCATTTTGATAGTAAACAGTTATGAATTTTCCGAAAACAAAAACAAAAATTTGTGTGGAACCTCGTAAAATCTAAAAACCTTGAATAACAAATTCCCAGTTTCCATTTTTTATTTTTATTTCTGAACCAAATAATTTACATCTGAAAACTTGTTTAGCCCCATTTATGATTCCTTTTTTTGACGATCAAAATTTATCTATAGTGTATTGTGTATGATATTGTATACACTTAAAGGTTCTAGGTTCAACTCAATATTGTCCTATCTGGTATTATCTATGTGTATTGTGTATGATATTGTATACACTTGAAGGTTCTAGGTTCAACTCAATATTGTCCTATCTGGTATTATCTATGTGTATTGTGTATGATATTGTATACACTTGAAGGTTCTAGGTTCAACTCAATATTGTCCTATCTGGTATTATCTATGTGTATTGTGTATGATATTGTATACACTTGAAGGTTCTAGGTTCAACTCAATATTGTCCTATCTGGTATTATCTATGTGTATTGTGTATGATATTGTATACACTTGAAGGTTCTAGGTTCAACTCAATATTGTCCTATCTGGTATTATCTATGTGTATTGTGTATGATATTGTATACACTTGAAGGTTCTAGGTTCAACTCAATATTGTCCTATCTGGTATTATCTATGTGTATTGTGTATGATATTGTATACACTTGAAGGTTCTAGGTTCAACTCAATATTGTCCTATCTGTATAATGTTTGCACCTCCTTTCAAAGTGAGAGTTCTTGAAAAATGAACCTAAATAAAAATGAAAGATCTATTTGTATAGATTTGTATTTCTATCTAAGTTTTCTATAAACATTATCCAATAAGTAAAGTAACTGGTTTCAAAAAGCATGTAAATATTATTTGAAAACAGCTTCTTATCTAACTCTCTTTGCAGAAACATCGAATAGAGAGAAATCCACTCATAATTGTATTTTGACTCATCCTGTACCCCCTTCCATTCTTCATGAAAATCACTGTAAGGTTAAACTTGTCGTTTAGTACTGATGGCCAAAGCTTGGTTCGTTAAAAAAAAAACTTTTTTGGACTTTTAAAACGTTCTACAAATATAAATTCAACAACAAAAAGGAACAAAAGAAAATCGTTTTTAGATTATTTTTGTTGTTTTTCCCTTAGATTTTCTCTAAGGATTAAAATGCTGCATAGTTTGCATTAAAGCAAACTTTAACCTTGAAAGATTTAGAAAAACGAATCAAGATATTGCCTATATCACTATATAACTATTTAGAAAAACGAATCAAGATATTGCCTATATTACTAAAATAAACTGTCTAGAAAATACACTGGGTACGGTCTCCATCCTATCGGACACAAACATGTTGAAGTCAACGAGGTTCATCGTCCAGGGTTCCATGGAGGATACCAGTCATATGTCATCCGACCTACTCCTAGGTATACTTACAATAAGTGCTATGATCTGGGGATATGCAGTTCAGTTGTATTATTGTTTACAAATTGATGCAATAAATCATAATGTTTTAGTTAAAAACGTTCATGCAGTACTATTTGTTTCGAAATACAATTTCAGTATAAAATTTGTTTACAAATTGCGGTACATTATCATATTTGTTTACAGGCGTAAGTAAAATATATAAATTTTAAAACAAATTCCAGTCATTATTGTATTTGTTTACAAACGTATGTAAAGTATTTACAATTTGTTTACAAATTGCAGTACATTATTAATATCATATTTTATTACAAACTCATGTTAAGTATAAATATATTTTCTTCTCAGGCCAATAATCCTGCCGCGTCCTATTCTTCCCGTGAATCCGCTTCTTCTTGGTAAGTTGATCATTTTTTTTAACTTTGAAGAATCCAGTTCACTGAAAACTCTGGTTCACTGTAAACTCCGGTTCATTGTAAACTCTGGTTCACTGTAAACTCTGGTTCACTGTAAATCACTGTTGTAAACTCTGTTTAACTGTAAACTCTGGTTCACTGTAAACTCTGGTTCACTGTAAAGACCGGTTAACTGTAAACTCTGGTTCACTGTAAACTCTGGTTCACTGTAAAGTCCGGTTAACTGTAAACTCTGGTTCACTGTAAACTCTGGTTCACTGTAATCTCCGGTTCACTACAAACTCCGGTTCACTGTAAACTCTGGTTAACTGTAAAAAATCCGGTTTACTGTAAATTCCGGTTCACTGTAAACTCTGGTCCACTGTAACCTCCTGTTCACTGTAAACTCCGGTTCACTGTAAACTCCTTTTCATTTTAAGCACTAGCCGACTTTTAGCCAGCTAAAGCAAGCTGTACAATGTACGCAAAGTACATATACAGACTAAACTGAAAAAACGGGACAGCTCACATCAAATGAATTATCCCCTTCTAGAGAAATTTATGTTTGTCAATACGACTTTGATTTAAAAAGCTCTGTAGACCCCCTTGAGCTTTTGTAATTTAATCTATAGATAGTATTTCAAAAAGAACAGAACAGCCTAAAAATATGTTTTTCTTTAGTGCTGAAATATATGATATATAATTAATGAATTTGAACTGCCTACAACCCCGCCGGTTCAAATTTGAATCATCGATTTAATCCTTCCTTAATCTTTAACTTCTGTGGTTCAAATTTGTTTGCTTTATTTGAATCAGGTTAAATTATCCACCAGGTAACTGCACAAGTTGTATGATTTTAATTCCAAAAATGACTCTTTCTTTAGCTTTTTCTAGGACAAAAGTCTACAAATTTCTAATTTTTTTATTGAAATACTAACACAGGAACTGATATTCAAAGATTATACTTAGATCAGTATGTAAGTCTGAATATAAAAGGATTTGTTTAGGTGTACGGTATCGGTATCCAGGGTTAGGTAGGCTTTATACTATTTTATATCTACATCGCAACCAAAAATTCATCAAATAAAGATCTGAGTGGCAAAGTAGACTTCTGTTGCTTTAAACAGAACTTTTCAGGTTATGCAAAAAAATTGAACATTTTTTCAGGTATTGGAGGACTAGGACTCGGAGGCATTGGACTTGGAGTTCGTCCCGGGATAGGACTTGCAGGACTTGGAGGAATAGGTGGCTATGGTTTCGGAGGCTTTGGAGCTCTGGGTGGTGGAGGAATTGGACTGGTTGGGCTGGGAGGGGGTGGGCTTGGCATTGGAGGGCTTGGTGGACTTGGTGGTGGTGGACTGGGATTTGGTGGTGGACTAGGAGTAGGAGGGCTAGGTGGTGGACTGGGTGGTGGTGGTCTAGGGCATGATGACTCCTTTTCAGCAGGTAAACACAAAAAAAATGAAAGTGAACTTTTTCCCACTGAAAAAAAACTTGTTTATAAAAATGATATCTGAACTTGTATTTGAATATTTCCCCCCTGACAAGATGCAGTCTCTAAACATTTTTATATTTTCACACAAAGCTGTTGATATATTCTTGTTTGCAAAGGAAAGTGTTTGTTAAGAGAGATTTTAGGGCTTATATACTTTGTAAACAAATCTAAGCAGAGAAGCATAAATGCAGTAAAAAAAAATCTCGCCTTCAGACAGTAAAAAGATTTAGTGATCTAAAACATCAGGAAGCGTTAAATCATTTATTAGAGTCTGAACTCATTTTAGTATGTTAATACTTCTTAGAAAACAACAAAATAAGATGACTCTCTCAAACAAAAATTAGTTGATTGTTAAAAAAAATAATAAATTCTCTATTTTGACCTTGTGTGTTCTTTATTTCAAAGAATGGTTGATATATATATATATATATATATGCGGGGTTTAATCCGATAATTGTAGTTTAATTGTTCTCTAATTATCTCTTTAATTAGCAGGTAATTAGCTTGACGTTATTCGTCATTCAAGGACGAAGGGTTCAAAATAATTCAATTTGATTTTTATAAATAATTAACTATAAACTGCTGGATATTTTCTGAAAGAAGCTGGTAAAGGATTTTAGAGCTTGTTTCAATCTTAAAGAGAAGCTATAATGATAAAATGCTAAGGTTCAAAAATTTTTTTCATTTTTATTTATTGTCTTCTTTATTTGAAGGCGGCATTTTACAAAAGTTCTGAAGTGTTTTCCCGCTAATAATAATTTAAGTTTAAGTTTTAAGGGTAAAACAAATTGGATTTATTTTTAAGCTTAGGCCAAATCTGTTTTTACGACATATATCAACTTTAAAAACTAGCCCGGGTGCCCCCCCCCCGTTACGGCCCTTAATCAATTAATGCATTAAAAAAATTATTAAAAAATATAATATCTAATATCTCTGTTATTTTTAGCAATCATTGCTGTCTGATCATTTATTTTTATTGACAAATAAATATTAAGGAAAGGTATAAATTCATATTTATTAAATAAGCGTAATTTCAAGTACCCCTCAATGCAAAGATAGCAATGCCCGATTCACAATTTAGGGACAACACTAAAAAGTTATTTGCTTTTCAAATGTCATCTCCCTTTCAAACTATTCGTGATAATTTCTAATGTGTTATATTTCTATCAAAATTGTGATGAATGCGGAGATAAACTGTCGCAGGGGAGATGAACTTTATCTATTTACCAACCTTGAACAGATGAATTCACATTTATCATTTGTCTTTTTGTTTCCTTGATTGAATAAACTGATTTGCCAGACCGACTGAACACTTCTAGTCAAAATTTAAAATTAAAATTCTGAAAAATCATTTTTATAAAACTGGAAAGCATTGCTATATCTTTAAACCCCTTCAATTTATTTTCAGTATGTGTCAGCCTTGTTGAGAAATTTAAAGCAATAATATTATCAAATAAACAATTGTACAATGTACATGTGTTTAAAATGATATTTAAGATTTTCTAAATTGAAAAATTGGAAAATTCTCCACTGAGATAACTGTTCTTGACAATTTTAATTTAAATTAAAGAAATTCTTTTTAATACTCCAGCAAAAAGTCAGCAAATAAAATAATAAAATAAATAAATAAAAATTAGATTTTAATAATCATAACTATAATAATTATAATATTTAATAAGAATTAACTGCTAGGGTTTTAATCTCAAAAATGAAAGTAAATTATTTTGGCAAGTTTTTAAATTTTATCTTTAATATTTCTATAAGAGACTGCATTTCAAGTGGTCATCCAAGTGGTAATGTCCGATTTACAACGGATTTAGGCTGCCAAGACAATTAAAAAAAAAATCTGAGACTTTTTGACTTTTGAAGATAGCAACCATACCTTCCTTACTGTTACTCAGATAGAGGTTTATAAATCGGACATGTCACTATTTTAATGAAGGTTTAGTTAAAATTACGTTAACAGTCCCTTTAATTTAGCATTTGACTCTGGACGGAAAGGATTCAACCCCTCCCAGACATCATCCTACGCTGCTCCGTCCTACGACACCTCGGCGTCCTCTACATCATTAGACACATCGTCCTTCGATACGTCCTCCTTCAACTCATTTCCGTCCTATGACTCCTCCGATTACGGATCTCCGTCTACGTTCACCTCCTACGGTCGGAGGTCGGTGAACACGGATCGTGAGAGTACACCCAGTAGCTCCGAGGTCGGAGAAGAGTCCTCTGAGTATCCTGAGTATGGAAACTATGATTTGAGCGAGGAAGAATCCTTCTCTGGATATAACCAACAAAACCAGGTTTGGTTGCATACATATTGCATATATACACTATACAGCACTTCTCACAAAGGATGAGACTTCAGAGACGACTGTACAGACTGAACACCGACTGTTTCCTTATATGCATGATTCTGTGCAACTGTAAATTTGTTGCTCTCTTTTCCAAATTATTGATTAAGCCATTAAAAGATAAAATGTATAAATATTTGCTAAAATCAAAATTTTTATTTTTATTTTTAGAAACAGGACGATAAGACACAGCCATACAATCAGATTCAGAAAATTCAAGAAAAAGAAAAACAGCTTCAGTATTCACAGCCACTTCAGTACTCACTGCCGTTTCAGTACTCACAACAGCTTCAACAGCAGCAGCTTCTTCAACATCAGCTTGAACAGGAACAACTGCAACAGTATCAGCTTCAGCAATATCAGCCGCCATATATTGTCTCTGTACAGAATATGAATCCTGGATATTATTCAAACCTCATTTATGCAAAAGAAGGAAATATAGAACTTAAGGTAAGATTTTTTTATATTTCAGAAAAAATTGGGGTATTATGAATTATTTCAAATAGGTAAGCAATCACTTAAAATATTAAATCAACCGGATCTGTTATCATCTCATTTTGATATTTCTTAAATCAAAATTTTAACAGAAAAAAACATTTTGCGCAGACCCTACAAATGTAAGAACCCCCAGTTTCTCTCTGGAGGCTTAAATCTGTATTGGGAAGAACAGGAAGCAATGGGAATCCGTGAAGTATGGTTAATATAAAATTTTCATTGATTCATCTTTGTAAAAGAAAAAATTCCTTCGAAATCATATAAAAAATGTTTTTCTGGTTTTTATTAATAACTATTCAGGAGGAAAATGAAAGCGAAGAAGTGGAAAGCAGGGGTGGGGCGCCAGAGGAAAACAAGATGGTGGCGGAGGAAAACAAGATGGTGGCGGAGGAAAACAAGATGGCGGATCCTCTTAGTAATCACAACATGGAGAGCAGTTACGTGCAAGAAAACATTGTCGAAAATAATCTTCCGAAATAATTTGTTTTCACTCAACACCTTAAGTATTATTTATCTAGTATTTTGAAACTTTGCCATTTAAACCTTAATTTGAATTATTTGAATTTTAGCTATCTAATTGTGGTTTGTGTTTTCTAATCAATTTTTACACAACTTAAAACAAAAAAACATGATTCCACCTCTTAAAGTTAAACATTTTTTTCAATATTATGCTATCACTTTTAGTTGTTAAATGCACAAAACTGTCAACTTTTTCTTAGTTTCTTGATTTAAAATTTTATTTTGTTAAATATTATTTATACAAATTTTGCTGTATTACATCTAGTCATGAGAAATGATATTTTAATCTATTTTTATTTTATTTAAAAGTAAAGTCTAAACTCATGGTTTAAATTTTTTCACATTTTTCTTATCATTTTCGTATCTAAGCTTAATTTCTACAGCTTTTTGTAAAACATTATTCAAATTTCAATAAAATTATTACTTTTAACTAAAAAAAAGATTTAAAAAATTAAATTCAATCACAATAAAATATTCCCCTTCTCTTCTCTCAACATGTTTTTTATCAATATTGGTATTTCGTATTACGTCAATATTATTTCTCTGTATTGTTTATCAATAAAATGTTTGTATTTAGGTATTTATGAATCAATAAATATTAATGTTGTTTTCTAAAACTAATCCTTTACTTATTTATATATGTAGAATAGTTAAAGGGAATCGTTAAGAATTTCTATAAAATGGTTTGTATTGGATTAAAAATCTCTACAAAGGCATAAGATGAATTTTTTCCATTTTAACTAAAAAGTAAAAACCCAGCATTCTTTTTTAAATTATCAACGTATTTTCTTCTCATTCTTGATTAATTTGTAATTGTATCTAAAATACCTCTAAAGCTAGGGAAATAATTCCGTTCTGTCCTTTTTTAAAAACATTAGAAGTGTAAAAAGAGTATTCGCTAAACTTGACAGAGGGTTGGGTTGAAACCTATTAACATAGCAGTAAATTAATATTTATACACAAAACATACCTAAAGGTCTGTACAACGCAATGACCTAAAACTGAAACCCATTTTTTTATTTATTTTAGTGTTAATTATTAAATTATAACAGGGATTTTAAATTCGCCGGGAAACAGTTTTGTTTGATATCTCCTAACTTTCGTAAATTATATGCACCAACTTAACCTCTGTTCATTTTTCGCGAACACTCCCTTTACGATAGAAAGGAGCTTATTCGGATTACAAATTCCAAAACAATTGTATTTTGAGGAGTATAAAGAAAAACTTATTGTGTCAAGGAAATGAGAATAATTTTATTATAATATTTATAAAACCCTTTGTCGGACTATAAATGATATCGGACTAAGTCTTGAAATTGATTATTTTCGATTGTGGTTTCTATCAAATCTATGCAGCAGAAGAAACTGTCGTATTCAGCACGGATAAAAAACGACAGTATCTTCCATTATGAAGATTAAGGTTTACCGGTAACTGTTTAGGACCGGACATGTCAGTTTATAACTAAAAGGTTACTAAATATTATTTATTGAATCACAAGGGAACTTCAGCACCGTGGATGCAGGAGTTCCGAAAGGTAGGATAGATAAATTAGTTAATTTTATCATCCGAGCCACCTTCATATTCATTTATAATTATATCTTTCTATCAAATGTTTTCAGAATTAACACAGTTCACATAGATTCAGGCTGCTAATAAAAGGCTTATCAATTTTTGAGACAGGGTCCACTATGAAGTATCGCAACGCCCTGTGCTTTGATTTTACAGTTCTAACTCACATAGCCTTTTCTGTAGCCCTTTGGGTTGTGAAGCACTTGCGGTTAGCTTTGAGTTTAAAAACTAATTTGCCAAATTCTCATCGGTTTTAGCTAGAGACCTTTAAATCCTAGTGAGTTAATGTCACCGATATGATTCTGCATCTTGATCCCATGGTTAAAATTAATATATAAGTCATTAAAGATTTGTTAATTCTACAAACAGTTTCCTATCGGTAGAAGTTTTTTTAAGAGTTTGTCAAACTTTGACTTTCATCAGTGTCTTCCAGTCCTAATGGACATTTGTGAAGTTCTGACTAAATATATTTTTATGTAGCAAAATGGCACAGTGGATATCGATGAACCACGACTCTGAAAAATGACAACTAAATCCTCTAAACATTTCTCTGGTAAAGACGATTGAGACATATTTGCCTTTCTGTGTGAAAATTTATTATTTTTCACAATGGTTTCTTAATAAAAGTAACTTTCAGAGATTTATGCTGCAGACACATTAAAGAAAATTCACAGACTTTAACACTTTTTAACACAATAACGGAGGATCTGCTAAATGTTAGAGGCTAAAAAGTGAAACGTACATACCACTTTTTTGTATCAAAATAACAAAATAAAATTTAGAATTACATATTCATTTGTATTTCAATTACGATGGTTATTTACTGACTATTTGACATTTTGTTTACGTTTAGCCAGTTCATTTATATTTAAGCGGTTAGAAAACATGTACACTGAAAAGTTAAATTACTTTTTAACAAATGTAGACGAGTATTTTAGGAAAAATAATCATCCATTTCAACAATATTTCAACAATTTTCGACAAATAAATATTACCATGAAGCTCAAACGACCGGACACATTTATTTCTATAACAGACAATTAGTTCATTTAGTTGTTCAATCAATTAATTTATATCAGACCTAAATTTATAATAAAAGGTTACATCATCGGCCCTGGAGCTCTTCAGAACTAAACCACGCTAGAAAGGCATTTAATCAAACTAGATAAAAATTCAACAATTTGAAAAATTATTCAACTAAATAACATCCTAATGCTGGCACTGAACCATTTCTCAGTAATTAAACAAAATGTTGCCCTCTTGTTCATAAGATATCCATTGTTTTGTTCTATTTATCAAAAATGCAAACGAGCCAAACGCCGATGATTTACATCCTCTGAACATTTCTCTGGAAAAGACGATTGAGATAAACTTTATTTAGTTTTCTTTATGTCATACAGATATTTCATAATTAACATCATACAAAGATTCTCTACTTGTCTCCCCCTCTGCGGTCTGCGCACTATTGTTTGTCGGGGCGGGGGGAGGCGCTCGCCCCCTCATCTGTATTTTATCTGTCACCTCGAGGGCGCGCGTGAACGTAATAGGTCCCTGGGGAGAGTTATGTGGCGATGAGCTAGTTCTAATCACATTTTCACTGTAAGGACTAGAAAGATGTCCGCCAAGTGGAATTCTTCTGGACATTTTAGGAGACATGTGTCCTGAGGGGACCATAGGGCCCCCTGGGTACCCTGAAGGGGTGGTTCTAGGGCCCCCTGACTGTATGGTAGGAGCTAGAAACTCTGATACAGGTTGTTGAAGATAATACCCAACCTGCTGGGCATAAGAGTTACTATGGTTAGGGGAGGAGTCCTGAGGGTAGACAGGGTGCCCGGGGTGGGGGCTGTGACCAGGGTGGGGTCCGTGACCGGGGTGGGGGCCGTGCCCATAGTTTATAACAGGAGGACTGCCACTGTCAGTCTTCCACAGATAAAAGGATTTGTTCGGAGAACCCGCGAGCTCCTGAAATAAACAATTTAACACTTCAATCAATCTATTTTTAAACCGGATTGTTAAAAAAGAATTTGTATTTAAAAGAATAAAAGTAAAATTACTTGTTAAACAGGACAATGGAGTATCAAGATAAAAACATGAGCTTAAAGTTTAAGTGATTTATAATCCATTCTAATCTTATAAAAAGAGAAAAATCTTTAAAATTGAAATTCTTTGAACGTTTGAAACAGAAACATTCAGAAAAGGAGACCAGGTTTAAACATTCTTTTATTTAGAAATATGTAAAAATGTTTAATATTTAGTTGGTTGTTTAACATAGAAGAAAAGCAGCTACTATTTTTACTTACCTTGGTTAATTAGAAAATATGCAAAATAAGTAATTTAGCCGCTTAGCGGGGGACACAACACCCACCCCCTTTAGTAAATAATTAGGGGGGCAACAGAAAAATGGGTAATTTTTATTCAAACTATTGATGTTTAGCTTAGAGGGGCTCTGTTTCATATCCCTGAAATGAATGAGAGCATATACCTGTATATGCCCTGCAGAAGTAGAAGGACCAACTCCTCCACTAGCTAGCATATTCTGTTGAGGATCCAGTAGTTCTCCTTCACTTAAATATCTCCGTCCAGGCGTATACCCAGGGTTGTACGTTGTACTAGGAGCATGACTGTACATGGGCGTGGTTAGCCCACTGTACCTGCCTGGGGAGGAGACGGTAGGGGGCGGAGCACCGGCTAGGGGCGTGGCTACACCACCCATCATTCTAACTTTACTAGGAGGGACAGGCGGAGATTGTGTTTGACGGGGTAATTGTCTCATCTCTACTCCAGTCTCACTCAACATATGATCAGGAGTTCCACTTCGTTTACCAGGCCTACAGTATTATTATTATTGTAAATTAATGACGTATGACGCATGAAGTTAGACGTATATGACGTATAACGTATGACAACGACAACAACATTCAGTGATTGATAATGAAAATAACAATGACAACAACTATGATGATGATGATGATGATGATGATGATGACATTGACATTATTTCTAATAAAGTTGTCATAATATTACCAATAGTAACATTAATAAAAACAATAATAATACCAATAGTAACATTAATAAAAACAATAATAATACCACTAGTAACATTAATAACAACAATAATAATACCAATAGTAACATAAATAAAAACAATGATAATACCAATAGTAACATAAATAAAAACAATGATAATACCAATAGTAACATTAATAAAAACAATAATAATACCAATAGTAACATTAATAAAAACAATAATAATACCAATAGTAACATTAATAAAAACAATAATAATACTAAAAAGTTACTTTTGAAGGATGTGAGGTGATGAGTATCCCTGCTGTAGAAGACGACCTTGATTTTGCCCCTGGTAAGCCCCTGACCCTGATACAGCTGGGCTGGGGGTCAACTGGACTGATGTGTTTGCGGTGCTAAAATATTTAACATTTTCCAAATTTATTATTGATGGGTTTACTGGGGGCTTACAGAACACTTCTCTTAAAGCTGTTATGTAGAAAATATCAAAAATTACACTTTTCTTCAAAGAAAATATAACTAATTTTCTCTTCAATTGATTCAGAAGTTTCCCATGATTTTAATTTTGATCAAGGAAGAGACTCAGTTTCAGTACAAAATGTGATAGCATATGTAATTATAACAACTGTGAACAAAAACTGGAAAAAGGGGACTTAGGATCAAAAGCTGTTGTCTTGCAATATTTTTATTACCTTCTAGACAACACACTTTCATCTGCCCTGGTCCGATTATGAATGTCGTCTTCGGAGAAGAAATTGGATTTGGAACTGTTATGCGGAAGAGAGGATTCTGTGTCCTAAAACAATAAATATTTAAGTCTTCATAGATTTAATGTGAGGGTTTAAATCATGTTCTTTTCCAATATCAAGGGGCTTTCGACGTTAAGTGAACCTCCTGTTAAAGTAACTTTAAAGTAACTAATAAGGATAATATTGTCGATTTTTTAAAAAATAGTAACAAATTCTGTCGGTTTCCTTGCTTGCCATCAACTGAAAAATTGTTTAAGTAAATTGTTTCAGATGAACCGCTATTACAAATTATCTAAGTTTACAATGAAAAACAAGGATAGCTTCATTATCTTGCCCAGACACAGGTTAAAAGGTAACGTTACAAATCTGGCATAGAACTCTTTAAATATAGGTTCTCTTGAAATAAGTCAACAGTTATTTAAAATTCATCTCTTAACCAAAGGTAAAAGAAAATGAATTTTTCAGTTCTTTGCGACAGTAAATTATGAAACTGATCTAGCCATGATTCAGGTCAATTTTTTGTCTGCCCTTTTACTATAGAACCTAAAAAATCACGTTCTTCACATTAAATATCAATTTCCTAATTTGAAAATGTTCCATGAAGATTTGATTAAAGGTTAATGCAAAATAAATTGTTATTATCATTAGTTCTTTATCTTGTCAAGCAGATTAAGATTAATTATCATTTGATCCATTTGTTCGTGCTTTATTGATTTTTTAATAGCTGTATTTCTTGTGATGTTTAATTAATAATTTACTTGTAAACTTGTTCCTTCACTCGGGAAAATTGTTTGTATTTTAGTAATTAATTTGTTTATTGATATTAAATAAATGAATGATAGTTTAACTGATAAATCAGACACGTTAAATTAATATCAACACCTTAAAGGCAAAGAGAATAGAATACATATTAGAGTGGAATTTAGACAATCCCTCGGTATGAATTTTGGCAGTCCCTTTCAGTCTGAAAGGGAGTTCAAAGTGGAAAAATCATGTAAATGTTCACAAATTATATGCAATAAAGTACATTAATACAGTATGATCCCTAGACTATCCAATTCAATTTCGAATTTTTTAAAGCTGTTAAATTAATTTTATAAAATGAATTAGGTGAATAAAAAAAACATAATTTGATATAAAGTTATAACGGAAAATCATCGTTTGTAAAGTGAAAGGCATAGAGTCTATGTGAAATGATCATTTATGAAACCAGCCTACGTCATAATTTGGTTTTCAGTTAATATTAATTTTAGATTTTCTATAAAATGATGTTCCAGGGCCCAAAAGGTTATATAGCACAAGTATGTGAAGTACACCTGCAGTATGGAAACAGTACAACAAAATGGCCGTTTTACACTTTTTTCTAGTAAATTCCCCTCTAATATATATTCTATTCTCTTTGCTTAAAGGACTGTACGCGTAATTTCGTAAGATGACAATGCCCGGTTAACAAAGGTACCCTTGAAACCTTTCTCTAACAAAAATGTGGAAGATATTCTTGTTTCTCGAGGGTTGAAAGGTTTTTTTAAAATTCCAATGTTTCCTGCAGTATTTATTCGCAAGTCGCTTTTGTAGAAGACCCCAATAGAAAATTAACAGTTTTCAAATTTATAAAAATTGATATCTAGTTCATACCATCATGGATACCCTTGTGAATCTTACAATGCCATTATTGCATAAAGGTCATTTGATATTACGCTTACAGTCCCTTTAACATACAAACATATTCTACAGAACTATGTAATCTTGAACTAGATCCTAATACTTACTTTAGACTGGCTCCCCATAGGCTCATCCATATCAGATCCAGCATCCATATCAGAGGCAATAGACATCTAAACAAGTCCAAAACTTAACTTCAAATTCATTAAAAAGCATTTTCCTTTTTCTTACAAGAACTGCTGACGTAGTTTTCAGTGATTCCCCACTTGAAGAGTAGTAAAAAACATTAAATACGTTCAGACTTTAAAAATAAATATTAGAACAATTAAGATATAAAAAATATAAAAAATAACGACGTCATCTTCTTTCTCAGATAAATGCCTGAATAATCATCAAAAAGAATTTCAAGGGTCACATAAAATAACAAGGAAAAGAATTTTTTGAAGTCTAAAATGAATATTTCAGTTTTAAATTAAATATTTTAGTTGTGCCTATTTTAATTATAACAACATCGATGACCTTAACATCAATTTTTGTTTAATTAATATTCAGTTCTAGAAATTGAAAACATTGGCTGGACTGGACATAAATATTTTAAATATTTCAATAATTTCGCAAACAACTGTAAAGCTAAATCTATATATATATGTACATCCAAATGTAAATTTAAATTACTATTTTTTCTTTTCTAATAATAACTTATTATAACTATCCATATTTTAACCTAAACTCTAAAAATACAATCTTTAATTTAGAAGCATATATCAAAATTTATAAATGAACGATTTTGTGATGAGATGATGAGAAAAAATAATCAAATAGAGGTGCACACATATGTATGTACTTTCATGCAGATAAATTATAATTACACTTACCAAAAAAAACAAATCAGAAAAAAACAGATTTTTTATATCGAATTACTTACTAAATCAATCTGAGATGGAATTTAAAGAATTTGAGCCGCGGTTTAAATCCTCCGAAACCCGGTTTAGATTAAGCACCGGCTTAAATCTTGAAACATTTGATACAATTTTAACGGGAACCAACCATATTTAAACCGCGGCTTAAATTTAAACCGCCGCTCAAATTCTTTAAATTCGGCCACAGAATTCTTAAGCAGAATTCCTAAAATGAATTAAGATTTTTTTCCTCTGTTTTCAAAGTACATGAAAACTAAATAAAGTCTAACTAGAATGTTAACTAAACTATGAAATATGTAAACTAAACCAAAAGGCGTGTATACTGAGGATTTATGGTTGAGAAAATAAAATTTAAATCATTTCCGTTTTACGTTCGTTGAAAAAGCACGTCTAAGTTTGTTGTTAAAAAATGGGTTCAGTAAAAGATAAATCTTTACCGAATTGGACAATTACAAAAACAATCATTGTCTGCTACAGGGGCGTATAAATGCATTTCTCTAAAGGGGAGAGGGGGGAGGGATTTAACTATTTTGTGAAATCCAGAGGGGTGGGGGGTAGAGCAGGACCCCTGGCCTGCATCCTGCAAAGAATCCTGAGTTTAGTAACGTCATAAACGTTATTTGCTTTCTTTCATTAATATATTTGGACCAGATTTGAGCCAGGTCTAGAGACAGTTCAACGATTATCTTTTAATCGGTGATTCAGGATTCGTTTCAAATTTAAATCGACAGTAGGCAGTTCAGCGACCTAGCTCAAATTAACTAAAAACGTTCCCAGGTCTTAAAATATCAGAAAGAGAAGGGGGGGGGGGAGATATACACGCCCACCATTAAATCTACTGCTATATTCGTTTACCATTAAAGTTTCTGCTTTTAACTCCAACAGAGGTTTAGTTGGCCGGGGTGGCTGGAAATTAAAATTTTATAAGATCAACGAGTTCAACTGAACTGTAAAAGATCATAATAAGAATATATCGTATCTCAGCTAATCCAATTCCAGAAAGTCGGCATTAATTAAGGTGAAGATTTTATCCCATTCATTAGTCACGGACGTAGATCGAATAAACATTCATTCAGGTAAATTAGAAAAGGTAAAAAGCAAAATATGTGGTTTCTATGAAACATGATATTCATGTGCGGATGAAAATTAAATTTCGATGTTGTAAAAACATAGCTATAAAAAAATAAATAAAAATTTGTGCAAAAAATTCCCAGGTTATTCATGCTTAACGTAAAATTCGTGTCAAAATCATTATTAGACAGAAATAAATTAACATATTAGTTGCTGCAGTGAGGTCTTAAGTTTTTAACATGCACTTTTTGGCAAATTATTTGCATGCAATCATAATAGTTCTCTGAGGCGTGTGCAGAATAAAAAAGAAAATAGTTTTGTATTCAAGATGCAAATGAACTTATGTCTTTAAGAGTTTACCGTTAAAATTATTCAAATTGACTATTTCTCAAATGTTAAATTAAGTTGGGAAATTTTATAATCAAATAACTTCTCACTGCACCTAAATATCTTTCCAGAAATATGAACATGCATTTTAAATCAAATGAAAAGCGTGCGCAGGCCGGGTCCCTAGAGTTTATATTTATAAAAATAGATTTAAAACAGGAAAATATTCTTAAACTTAACTTAAGCTAACTCTGAAAACTAAACTTCAGCTCCAATACCTGGGTTTAAGTTCAGAAGTCAAACTTCAGGTTTGAATAAGTTAATAAAGCTTAAGTCAAGATTATTCCACAAATTTTTAAACCAAACTTAAGGTATAAACTCTAGGCTCCATGTATAATGATTTAAACCTTAACCCCGGGAAAGTGCTGGGAAGACTACATACCCTGTTATAAGCTGATGAAGAATGTTTAAGTCCATTATCTCGATATGTTCGAACCTGGGCGGCCGCAGCAGCCTGGGCGGCGATGGGTTCCACTCCCTGCCCCCGGACTCGTCCACTGTTACGAGGTCCACCTCCCGGTCCCCTCGGTCCTATCGGGCCCGGGGTGTCAGGGTTAACGGGTACGGGAACGGTGTATTTTCGTGGCTTCTTCCCGATATATTTTGCCGGGTGCTTCAAACTAAATAAAGAAATAAAAATAATAAAAATGTATCAAGTTAAACTGGGTTATTTCACTAGAAATATTAAATATTTTTGTTGCTGCGTATTCTATGCTGAATTTGTTGTTATCAGAGATCATGAAAGTTCTATCAATCTCTCATTAAATAACATTTAAGAATTTTTTTGTATATTTTTAAACTGATCAGAGGATCCGCTAAACTATGGCTGTCAAAAGGGGAGCTCAGAGCCGTACCCCCCCCCCCCCCCCCCCCCACCAACTGGGCCCCAAAGTATTCTAGACATACCTAGGATATTGTGGTCCACAGAGTGCGAAGCAGCAGTTGTATGAACAGGATTTACTGAATGGATTGTATCCTCCACGGAACTTCCCGGTCACCTGCTCATTCGTGGTTCTTCCACGTGCAACTAAAAACGGGTTCAAGTAAATGATTAGACAAAACAGCGCAAACTTCGAAGAAGTTTGCTGCGGCGGGGGTGCCCTTTTTTTAAATTTTAGTATTATAATGGAGCGTTTTGGTCCACCTAAAAAAGGTCAACTTTAAAGTCCCATTGATTTTTTTAAAAGCTTTTTTTGTAGATTTCCCTCATGCCCCTTTTCCCCTTCCCTATTGCCCTTTTCCCCTTTCCTGTAGCCCCTTTTCCCTTCCCTATTGCCCCTTTTTCCTTCTCTTCCCCTTTTACCCTTCTCTCTTTCCGTTTTTCTCTTCCCTTTTTCCTTTTCCTTTTCCCCTTCCTTTCCCCTTATTTCCTTTTTTCTTCCTTTTTTCTCCAAATCGAATGAAAGCTCATATTTTTAAATCCTGATCCTAACCACTAAAGCAAAACTTTATATTGCGTGGAGGAAGGAAAAAGATTATCATAATTTCTACTGAATAATGAGTCCACAGCGTAATCCTTTATTTTAACAATTTGATCCAAATTAGGTTTGAAAATTAAAATTAAAACCTTAACAACCTTAGAGAGAAAATATGACTTTCTCAATGGATTAAATTAAATTTTTCATTTAATTTATTTAAAGAAAAAAATAATGAGACTTTCTAGTGATAAGAACAAAAACATTGTATTGAAATTTTACGCAGTTTCATTATTTTTTAGTAACAAAAAGATTGTACCTCAATAAAATTTAAATTCATAGTGAAACGTTCCAATTTTTCGCTCTGGAGAATTTAGCACATTTTTGTAAAAATATTTCGAGAGTTTTCTAAATTCATGAATTTAAACAAATGAAAGTATGCGCTGATGCAGGAAGAGAATTTGATTTTAAAATTTAGTAAAACTAACAAGAAAACAGAAATATACGCGTTTTCTTAAATAAACGTAAACTCTTCTTAAGAACAATGATAGAAATGTTTTAGTATGTGTGTGGGGTGGGGAGGGGGATAAAGAAAATTATTGTCTTTAAGTAAAAATGTATCCATTTTTGGGTGAACATTATCATAAAATAAAGGAATAAAATGAAAGTCTAAGTCGAAATTTTCATTCCCTTCCCCTCTTCTCCGACAGAATATCTGCGAAAGGAAAAATTTACAGTGGGGGGGGGGATGTAGGGAGAAAACATTAACCTACCTAGAACCATATGGAAGCCTGTGAGCCCAAATATTGGAATAATGAGGAGCGCAATTACGCACATTACAGCCAGAGATACAATTACAGGTATCTAAACAATTACTTCCCTACATTACCATGTTCGTTAGATTTCAAATTAAAATTAAACATATTTAATTTCTATCTAATGGATATATTGCAATGTATTTGTATACGCTGGCTTCCTAAGCTAGTAAATAATAATTCTGATAGATTTTTGATTTAACAATCTTGGTTGTAGAACTGGATGAAACTACAGGTACAATTTACAAATTACAAATATTAGATTTCAATGAAATTGACCCTCAATCAAAACTAATCACAATAAAAAACTTGAATTATAAATGCTTCCTTTTATATACTAAAACGCGAGTTTTTGACGGAAAACTTAAATTTCAGCATAAAACAATATTAAAAAGAGTATATTCCATGTAAGCTCCATGATACGTGCACAAAAGCATCTATATCTATAAGTAGTAATCTCTGTTTGTCTGTCTGTCTGTTTGAATGTCTGGTTACAATTCTTGAACCCCCGTCACCGATTTGCCTCAAACTTTGGCTGGGTCCCCAAGTAAAACGTTTAAATACTAGTTAAAAAATTACATTAACCAGATTTGTTCAGTAAAATCTTTACATATTATCTTCAGACTTTTGTTCAGAACAAACCCGCCGTAACCAACAATATATTAGATTACAAAATCTTAAAACTAACCTCACTGAGGCTGTCCTTTTTATGGAGAACGTGAACGAGGCTGAGCACAAAGATGGAGGTCATGTGGAGACTTAAGGAGATAAGGAACATAAAGAAGTATCTGTAGTTTCGACGACCTAAATGTTTAAATGAATTAATGATAATTTTTAAAACAAAATTGAAACACAAATTTTACTTGAATAGACACTTAGGCCGCTCTCAGATCCAGAACAGAGCTTGGATCTGTCTAGGACATGTGCGGACCAACCATGATTCGAGATTTAAAAAATAAATACAATAAGCATATATTTCATGCTCTTCTCTCAAATAAAAAATAAAACCATCAAGTGTTTAATACTGAGCTATACAGAGCGTCCCATATCATATCGGATAATCACTAAGCTTTAAAGCCAAAATACATACATGATACTCGAAAAAAACTAGTATTTTCTGAATGCAATTTTTTTTTATTTCACCTTTTACAACTTTTTTAAATGATAAATTCTTTTTAAATCTTCTGATTTGTCCCCAAAATCGTAATTTAATAGCTACAATTTAATATAATGAGGGACACCTTGTAGGTTAAAACATCCTATCAAATTTCTACATGAAAATAAGCAAACATCGGAAGTTAAATAAAAATTATTCCTTAAGCAAGAAAAATTTCAGATTTTTAAAATTTAATTTTATTTTCTAATTACCTATACAGTTGTTGACCCAAGGACAATGATGATCAAATATTTCTATACAATTGTTACAAACTGAACAGTGTGAGCAGCGAGGAGGTCGGTAGAACTGACAGGTTACGCACCATTTCATACGCACCTGGGAAAATATGGAATTCAATCAATTAATCACAACAGATCCAAACAGGAACCCGAAATGGAACCTCTCGAAAATTTTTATTTTGGCAAGATTTTATTTAGGTTAAGAGTTCAGTGATAGGGGATAACTTGGGTAAAGGTTCCAAATCTAAGAAGTTTTTAAAACTTTTCCAGGAGAATTTTCGAATAATTCCAACAAACAAAACTTGTAAAAATCGTTTTTAAAATTTTAAAATTAGTTTGATTAAAAAGGTTAACAAAAGCCAGGGGTGCATTCAATTCCGATTTTTAAATAAAGTTATGTGGATATGTAGAGGTAAAGAGCTCCAGCCCTTCCCTTCCCTATATTTCCTTTTCCTTTACTTCTTTATTTGCAAACCTACCATCAATTCTCTACCTTCCCTTTCCCTAACTACCTTACCTTCCTCTTACCTTCCCCTTCTACTTACCTTCCCTGCCCCTTCCGTAGTTCCCTATATTTCTCTTTCCCTTTCAACCTTCCTCTTTCTCTCTCAACCTTCCTCCTTCCGTCTCTACCTTTCCCTTTCCCTTCCCTACCTATCCCCTTCCCAACATATCCACTTCCATTCCTTCCTCCTCCCTACATTTCTCTCTTCCCCATCCTTCCCTTTTTCCCCCTTCACGTTTTTCTTCTCTTCCCCTCCTCTGAGTCTTTGCTTTTTGTCCCCCCCCCCACGGTCTTTGATTTCTAGGTAGGGAAGTAGATAAGTAGGGATGGAGATAGGCAGGGAAGAGGAAAAGTAGGGAATGGAAGGTTGGGAGGTAAAGGGGAAGGTTGAGACGGAAGGAGGATGGATGAGAGTGAAAGATGAAGGTTGACAGGGAAAGAGGAATATAGAGAAGTACGGAAGGAAATCAAAAAAAAATTGATGGGGGGGGGGAGGGGAGGAGATTTTTTCACCCTGCAAAATTATACTTTGAAATGAGGAAAATAATAAATTATTTCTTAAAGTTCTCCTACCGTGATTCCGTTTATCTCAACGTTTCTATAGAGCGGAGCACGGAAATCATCGTCTCTATCCTCGTCAGGACTTGCGCGCGGTATCACACCTATGCGCATTTAAATTAAAAAAAAATTTACAGAAAAAAAGTCTGAAACGCGATAAAAATGTAAAATTGTCCTTATCCTTTAACAATTGGCCCCATGAAACAAAGATTCAAAACCCCTAGCCTTTTTGAAGTCTTCCAACTTTCCCCCTCCTTTCCCTCATTTTCCCCGCACCTCATCTTAAAACCAATTTTAGGCAATTTTATTTAGGGGGATATTTGCTGATTTGGGAAAATAACTGAATTTTTATAAGAAGTATCACAAAGGGTATAAACTTGATGGGTGATGTCCCCCCCCCTCATCGGAACACATTAAAATGTTTACCCCCTGGCCCTCCGCTTCATTTTCCTCCCTTGTCTGTTTGAAATTCAATCCTCTGAGTATGACAACAAACAAACAAGATGAAAGAGATAAAATTTCTGGAAAATCATCCTTTTCACAAATATCATTTAAACCCAAAATGTAAGAAATAATCCGCAAATCAATGAAATATTCAAGAAAATTCCCCCTTTTTCTTTTGGCTCACCTGGATCCATGAAGGTCGCCATTGAAAAATTTATGAGAACAAATAACGTTAGGATTCCCTGTATAAGCAACCAATTAATCAATCGAATAAATGTAAACCACCAAGTATTCAAACTTAACATACAGCCCTGATCAGAAAGACCCGGAATTAATTTACAATTAATCAGACAACTTCACAATCCAGTTTTACAAAAATGATTTATAAAACGACAATCACAAAATAGCACTAGTTCTGCCAATTCCAAAAAGTGGTCTGCCTTTTTTGAGCATTAAAAATTGGAATCTTAGGGGGAGGCAATGCCTCCAAAGAAGTGCTGATGGAACGAGCTGATAAGCTAAAACTGATCATAGATCGTTGGATATTCCTAGCAGGATCCCTATAAAACCCGGTGAACCTCTTGGCTTTACATAAACGGTTATGAGATACCAACCAACCAATGGATTCAATTGGTTTGCCCACTATTGGAAGTATCTCCTTGACTCCCCCGGCTGGGGAAAAGCTAGTGGGGGGTTAAAGGTCCAGCTTTGGAAACGGGTGGGGGATGGTGCTTCCCCCACCTGGCGGCGGTCCGGGGGGTCAACATTGGATTCTCTTAACAGATTCCATTTCCTTATAAATGTTCCTTCTTATGTAAAGTCGTCATATTACGACTCAATAAGAAATTTAATGAAAAATCAATTAATTAAAAACCGAATTCGAAGTGAATAAGTTCGCCATAATTTCGGATTAGGTTACGACAATTTGAGCCGAGCACTTTAGGTTTGTTAGACCTAATCTCTGATGTTACAGACAATCAACTATTAAATAATTATTTTTCTAAAACTTTGATTGATTGATGCCTGGAATATAGGAACCGGATACCACTGCTGCTGTAGAATATACCACTGGACACACGGGAAAGCGAAGAATAAAGAGGTAGTTCCTGAAATTATACATAATATAGGAGAAGTTTCTCAACTTTTATATAATAAAGAGTTAGTTCCTGTCTGGGGGTTCCATGTCGGGTTCCCTTTCAGATCTTATAATTATTCTTATTCTTATAAACATCAAATAGGAAGTTTCTGAATTTTTATGTATTTAAGACGAAGTTTTTTATAACTAAGACTGGTTGTTTCTAATCCTTTTTCCATAATTAACAAGTAATTTCTGTATTTTAATTAAATAAATACTAGGCTGTTAGGCTACCTTTCCTATTGACAATTTTAGCTTCAAACTGTTGCTCTACAAGTCGACATTTTTAAAAATTATGACGGATTATTCTGTCCAAATTCACACATTTTCAAAACAATAAAAATCGACTTTTACCGGGGTCCTAAGCACTAGTGGCTTCATACGGGATCATAAAGTTAAAGGTGGGGATTGTAAGTGTGATCTGACACAGATTAACCTTTAAAATTAATTTACCTAATAGAAGAATCCAGGCAAAGGTTGCCGGAAGAAATTTAGTTTTTGATTTACACTTCGGCATATTGAGGCCGGGAGCACGCTGTTAAGGTCGGTTGAGGTCAAGATGGTTGTCCGGGGCTAATGTACGCTTTCATTCAACATTATGTTTTTGTCCTTATCAGCCATCATTCTAATCACATTTTGATTTTACATTAAATAATCATTGGTTCTTGATTTTTATCTTGAAGTTTTAACGCCCAATTCTAATTGAGCCTAGGACCTCTGTAACCTAGCGTCAAATTTTTAGTTTGAGGCTACTTATCACGAAGGTCACTCACACCAGTCGCCATTTTTAATTCTGAAAAAAATATAAAAATAATCTTGCCAAAGTTGCGACTAGTCTTCCATTCGTTCCTCTTGGTTCGGCGGATGATAACCATCTGCCTCCTGGTCAAGGATCTCCGCCACGGTATCCGGCTCCGCCTCGCCAATGTTAACTCCGTCATCGTCATGTTCTTCCTGAAATAAAAGAAGAATACAGAGGTCGGAATTAATGAATAGCGAGAAGTACTTAATCTAGATAAGAATAGTGGTACTAAATTCTATTTTGTGCACAAATTAAGTAGTTCAACCATACATGACTAGTTCAGCAACACCTATTTCAACTAGCAACACCTAATTCAACTAGCAATTCCTGTTTCAACTAATACTTATTTTTCATTAACTCCGACCATTAACATTGATTTGATACATATTGCACAAAACAAGACATTTTTAGTCGAATGATAGGGGACTGTTTTCTTTTTAGAATGTGGATGCGATCTTACCTCTCCCTCTCCGAGTTCTGTGAGAAGCTCTGTAATATGCTCTATCATGGCCTGGTCATCAGTAGGTGCCATTGTGTTTACATCACGAGCACGACGGAGATAATATCGCGCATTTCCCTGATAATCAGACTCAGACTGACTTCTGAAAAAAACGAAAATAGAAATTAATCCTCTTTAAAATTGTAAATTAATTGATTTAATAAATTTGTCAAGCACCCACCTTCAAAACCGTTTTCATAAATGTTAAATTTTTGATAGTTTGGAATATGAACATAAAACCTAATATCTAGTTCATTTGAAATTAATCACTTTAAACTAGCATCGCATTAAAATATCATGATTATCAAATCTTTAAAATTACAAACAAATAATCAGAGGTGTATATAATTCCATTATTCCCCCCCCCCGCATTATTTATGGTTTCGTGGAGGGAAAATACAAAAATTGAACCAACTTGTAAAATAAAGAAAATATTACTAACAAATCACCCCCAGTTTTTACGGAATGTTATTTCCCCATTTTCTCTTTGGGTATGGGTATTCTTGCAATGAAGTTAATCATATTTATGCTCAAGTGAAAATTGCTGAAGTGAAAATTGTATCACTATAAAAATATGATCCTTTTTTTAAATAATAGATCTGATAGAGCTGACCTTAAATAATTTAACCATCCTAGTAGATACCAGGTAGAAACAACCTCCTCATCTTCTTCTATTAATCCATCCAGAACCTAGACAGTATAATTGTAGTGGAAACAAAAACTGTTAATTAATTACTGTCGTTTTTCTTTCTTTAAAGGGACTGTAAGCGTGATTTCAATTGACCCTATCGGCAAAGATTGCAATTCCCTATTTACAAGGGTACTCTTGAAACAATAATCTGATCAAAAATGTGTTAGATAATGTATTTTTTGGACTAGAAGTGTTAAGTTCTGATAATTTCTTTAGCCATTATTATAAGCAAGAAATGTACAGAGAAACCACAAATCAAAATAAACAGTTTTCAAAGACAAAAATATGGATTACATGACTTATTTTCATTGATTTCATATTTTGACCTTCAGAGGTAGTCAAATTTTGGAGGCTACGAACTCCAGGATCATCTGAGGTCAAAAAGGAATATCAGAATGGAATCAGGACGGACTTCAAAAACCTATGATTTGACACCTCACATGACTTTTTTTTCTTTGTTTTATTTTTTTACCCTTTTTTGGGGTTCTTTTCGAAGGGAGGTCAAAATGGAGGTCTGATATACGCATCAATTTCAGGGCATTACTTATGTGGTAGCAAAAAGTATGAAAGCATATCTGATTCATGGAGGTGAAAATGGAAGTCAATGACCTCCGATGTCAAATTTTCTCGTGATCCATGTAATGATCACAATTAGAGGCTGCATGCCAAATTTCAGCCTTCTATCTCAATTATTAGTAACAAACGCAGCGTGTACAAAATTTGGTGTCACAAAGTGTCGAATTGCCACTCACACCATAACGCTTAGTGTCCCCTTCATACAGAATAAAAATTTTATATAATTTTTTTTCTCTAAAAATATTTCTAAAAATATATCGGATTACAGTTTTAAATAGAGAAATCCTGAGCGACATTCTATCAGTGAAAGAACGAAGACAACAAGATATCAAAATATCAAGAAACAGGGAAGACAACTTCAAAATAAAAAAACACATTAAAATAGAAAGAAACTACCTTTAAAATGTTCAATTATTTTCCTCTTTGTTCAATAAATTGCCCTTTCATAAACATTAAAATTAGGAAAGGAAATTGGTTTCAAAGATTCGTCTAATTTCTATATTTCCCGAGACAGGAAGTGAAAGGAGATATTTCTCGACAATTTTGTGTACCTTGGTTGCATTATCATAGTCTTCAAGGTCAAGAAGTATTTTAGCGGTAGAAAGTCGGAAAGTATAAGATAGATTTGTGTCTTCTCCTTCACCACTTTCTAAACATAAAATGCACAGTTGAACAGCATTTTTAAATTAAATGTAGACATTAATGTTTTGTCATAATCTTAACCGTTTTCTGGACTTTACATGTACAACTGTAGAGTATTTGTCAATGTACACTGAATTGAATAGAATTAAATAGTATCATCTTCCAAACCGGTTACATTACATGTAAAATTGTACAATTGTATAGTATTTTATATAAATGTAAACATAATTGTTCAGTGTCCGAATTTAATGAATTTGAGCCGCGTCTTAAATCCGCCAAAAACCGGTTTCAATTGATCGCCGGCTTAAATCTTGAAACATTGAATACAATTTTAAGTGACACCAACCATATTTGAGCCGCGGCTTAAATTTAAGCCGCCGCTCGCATTCTTTAAATGCGACCTCAGGATTGATTAGTGTCATCTTCCAAACCGTTTACATTAGATTAACAATTGTACAGTATTTTTAACAAAAAAATACACTTCGTATTCTCTGTTAAAACTTTAAAACAAGATAAATTTACAAAACATCGATTTCTTAACTTCTTAAATTTCAAGTTTCAAGTAAATGTAATCCGCAAGTCCCATTTATAGAAAACTACATGCCAAAGTTACAAAGTAAAAGTCAGGATGTATTTAATATTTCTGCTCAGACAAAGTTGAAATGGTTACCGCTGTGAATCGTTGATGTAACTCTTCAAATTCGGGGTCACTTGGAAATCAAGTTGACAGTGCCTCTCATCACGTGATAAAATTAAATCGGTGGAAATGTTTAAATATGTTCGAAGGCTAAAAATAATTTTACCTAGAAATTTAAGATGTGCTGGAAGCCATAGTTGAATAGATTTGCCAATAGATATTTTAGCATCTTCACTATTTCCTGCAATATTACACATATACAATTACGTAACTTAAAAAAAAACATGTTTTAAAAATATACTTTTTTTTTCTTTAAAACTCGTCATTAAAAAATCAGAGCTTATAAAAAAATCAAAACCAATAAAAAAATTGAAATTTCCTTTGTGTTACAAAAATAACCTCAATATTTGTTTTTGAATTTGCATTTGTGTAAATTTTTGTGGACTTCCAAAAAAGTATAGGTTAGTTAAAGATGAGGCATCATGTCTCAAAGCACAAAAGAACTTAAATTTTTTTTGTACTTTATTTAATTTTCATTTTGTAAATAATTTTACCTGTGATTAATAAATAGTTTGCTCGAGCTTGAAAAGACTCAGGATTAGTTTCATCCGCCTCAACCGATAGATCAATAAATCGCCTAAACAAATTTTTTTGATAAATAATTGTTCCTCAGATTTTTTTAAAGCTTGAGTTCAATTTTTTCATGGAACATCTGGCATTATTAGCTACATCGCTGAACAACCTAGTGCTGGTTCAAATTTGAAACTCCGATACAAAGTTAAACATTAAGTTAGAATTTGAACCGGCAGAAGGCAGTTCAACCAGGGCTAGACCTGGCTAACCATTTTTAAATTCAGTCTCTGATTTAATACCTACTTGGACTCAATTTCTGCTTCAGGTTCATCACACAGATCCGTCATATAAATCTCAGACAGGCTGACGTAAGCATTCGATATATCTCTTCTTAACTCCGTCCGTGTCTCGTGCTCCGGGTTCAGGCTGGAGAGGAGAGAGGAGATTATTTCAATAGCTTTCAGATATAGATCCCGGGATTCAACACCTTAATACATAATCAATGTTAGATTTGTTTTAGAAAATGGCGTCGTTTCTGACTCGAAAAGAGTTAATTTTCTACATTATTCATTACAAGCACGAAATGCGCAAATCACGTATGCAGTGAAACCACGAATGAAATTAAACTGTTAAAATAAACAAGTATGGATATTTAACTCTAACTTGATCAGACAAAGCTTTCAAGGGTCCTGTTGTGAATCGGGCATTGACATCTCTGCTAGGAGATTGGAGGGTCACTTGAAATTACACATAAATTCCATTAACCAATTAATCCTCGCCCTAAAACTACGCTGGGCATGTTTTTATAGACAATTCTTTCCCAGAATCATTTTCAAAACTTTTGGGACAAGTAAAAGTGAATTCATAATTTCAACTACATCATAATTCATATTTTGCTAAACACTTGATAATCAAAATACAATGGCGGTGATTATTTTCCTGGAAAATATATGAATATCACCTCCCCTTGGTTATCCCAGGAATGCCATAGGAATGCAACTTTTGTAAATTCATTTAATAGTTATGCTTTCTAAGTCAAATAATTCACCTTACAAATCATGAAACTTTGCTTAAAAGTAAAATTACCGCTCCAGCAACTACTGGGTGTTTCAGAAAGACAGGGTTGTAAATAAAAAAAAACACTTCTTGCTCTTTGCGAAAATAGGGTTAAAGGTGCCTACCCCTTATTACATCCCCTCCCCTCCCTTCATGAAGGATAGTAAAAAGCTAAATTGTGTGGAATAAAACGGGGGTAATGGTAAAAATTGTATGACTTTTTTTTTTTTTTTATAAAATTAAAAATTTCATTGTGAAAATAACAAATCCCAAGAATTTATCATAAAAACAAGTCGGAACAAAAAACAGGATTTGTGCACAGGAAAATAAGAGTCTGAATGATGAGTAATTAACCTGTCATGAGTTGTGCAAGGGAAAGATATTTAGTGTGTCCTTCTTGAGGTTTTAAGAATATAGCTCGACCTAGACAATGCTGCGCCTGCTCCATCTAAATATAAAATATTTTTTATAAAAATAGTTTTTTTCAATACCAAACAAAAACTTGATTGTGAATTAATACAAAAATTGAAGTTTTCATCAGAAGTGAGACAATTCATAATTAATTATAATCTTGTTCAGTAAAAAAATCTAAGGTTTGTTTCATTTACTCTCAGGAAAATTTCCATCGATTCTAATTTTTCGGAGAGTAAATGACATTCCTTTGTAAAATGCTGGTTTTAATATGAACCCGAGATTTAATTAAAATTGTTGCAAACCAAAAAAATACTGCTTTTTAATTCGGAATGTGAAGGAATTGAGTCTTCTCCACAAACTCAAATTTTCTAAACCCTATGTCTTTGCAACGTCAGGTGTAAGCCTTTGGTATTTCGAACCTAAATTATATGAATCTAACAGTATTCATAGATTAAAATATCTAAGGCTTGCAACATTGTGTTGCAAAGATATAGGGATAAGAATATCAGAGATTCCTTATTAAGATTATAGAATTTGATCATGAATCCTCCGTCGTGAATTGCTATCATGTAATTTTATAAACAACCTTCTGTTATCAAAAGATTGAACATCTGTTCACAAATACTGTTTCGTTAACAGATAGATATAATGAAACTGATTTTTAATCTGGTCTAATGGTGGAAACGAGTGGGAGGGGACAACACTTATTTGTACCTTTCCCCATAAAGAGATGTAATTCTATAAATGTAAGAAGTCCAAATTGGGGCCTATTTCTTGTAAATACTACAATGGTTGACCAGAGCACAGATACGACAGTGCAGTGTGCAAGTATATATTTCATATCTATCATGAACAATGGAAACCAACCATCCGTCACTCAAAGTATGTCCTTAATGTTCATCAAATATTAACACAAAATATATCAAGACGCGGGGGNTGCTCGTTAAAAATATACATAGATTAAAGGGTGCACAATTGTAAAAACAATTGATCTGATTGGTTCAAAGTAAAGATAACCTAAAATCCCTTCTTATCTAATGTCTTTGTATATAAATTAAAAACATGGATTGCTATTGTATAATGTACCTGGCCCATTTCAAGAAGAAGAGAGGAAGTAAGCTCTAAAGCTTTAATGTTATCACTGTCTGATCGAAATCATAAATTAATTTAAAAATTATTATATAAAAGATAAGTGTGACAGAAAAGTCCCATCCTTTCTTTCTTGTTGAGGTTGGCTGCTAAAAATGTGTCTTTGACATCAAAACAAAGCCAATATTGCACCTCCCATCTAGGTATAAAAGGGTCGGTGTTAAGTCAATTAATGCCAAAAAACCCGATGTCAAGTTTAAATACAATTTCTAATCTTTTACATTTCATTTACGTAATTACTACATGAGAATTGTAATGCAGGGGTAGAAGTTAAAATAGCTAAATTTTTAATTCTTTGAAAGAGAGATTACAATCAGACGTTATATTGTTCATGTACATTTTTTCTATATTACTACATCTAAAAACTTATTTGATATGTTCACGATCCGCAGGTGTTCAAATATGTTTTCTTCAATTATGATACTGTAAGGAAAATTTCAGAATTATTTAATATAATATTCCCAGATAAATTTGTCGGATTAGCAAGGCGGCCAGTTTCTCTGTGGAGTGATATTTGGTTTGGTTTAGGAAATATAGACTGATTCCCCCCTATACTGAGGGGGGAAAGGAAGGAAACACCCCCCCCTAAAAAAAATGATTAAACATTGAAAATAATCAGAGGCAGCTTATGGGGGGGGGGGGAAGGAAGTTCCCCCTGAAAATGGGAGGGACGTCCCCCTCCTGGAAAAATTGGGAACTTCTTTATTTGTTTTTTTTGAGAATGTTCACAAAATTTTGTCCCTGGATCCTGATCGGCGCCAGTGTATCGTTACTTGCTGGTCATCTTTAAAAAAGGGTCTTAGTTATAGGACAATTTCTGGGCCGAGTGGGATTTATGTTGTGTGTTGAGTTTTGTAGACCCAGAAAAATAATTAAATTAGTATTCATTTAGGGTTATGTTAGGTTAAGACACTTTCTGGGCCGAGCGCTGCGGCCACGGGTTAGGTTAAGTTATGACACTTTCTAGGCCGAGCGCAGCAGCTAAGACTGGCTAGGGGGCCGAGCGCTGCGGCCACATGTCTTCCATTTAAGACCCGTGCACCAGGTGGAGGATTAAGTCAAATTGGGCATCAAATGGCCAGTTTTCCTGTTCTCCAAAATATTCGTTATATTTATCGTTAAAATTAGTTATTTTTCCCAAATTCGCAGAACAAAAACATAAACTCTTTTTTGGGCGCTCTGCAGTCCGCACAACTATACCGAACTTCTGGGGGAAAAATTGATTTACAAAGAGGTGGGAGGGTAAATGATATTCATGAAAATATACACCCCTGAGACAATTATACTGTGAATCAACAAAAACAAACATTAATATTAAATTTATTGGCCAATAATTACAATTATTTCATGAAAAAAAACATGGCCAAACTGACATAAAACATACTTTGTAAAATATATATAAATTGTATAAATCGATAATTTCTTTGGAACTAAATTTTGAATACTGTGGGATAGCCAGCGGTTAGCCGACCTAATTCAGAAGGAAAAGAAATTTGGAAAATTGACAAAAAGGGGGCGAAGCAGGAAAAATTGAGAAGGGGAAAGCCCCCTTTCTTGTTTTCCCTCTAACGCCAACATAAAGATGCGGGAAGGTTCCGAAAGAAGCGAAAATACTAAGAAATAAATCAGGTTGTAATATATAAATTACAACACTGAATAGAAGAATCTTAAACACAACAAAAACTTAGAACTAACATGGAAAAAGATTTTTTTTTAGCGAGCAGTTTAAATGCTCATTTTAAAGGTTTTATACAGAAAAAGATTTGATTGAACGAAATCTAACAGTTAAATATCATTTTGTCGATTAGATTCAAACAAATTAAAAAAACACGGAAATTAGTAAGTATATAGAACAGATGAAAGTACAGTATAGTATAATACTGGCGGAAATATTTCGATTCATTTTAAATGAAAATTCCGCTAAAGATTGAAGAAAAGAGGATTTAAAATGTACATAAATGATTTGGTAATTGTTTCATAGCTTCACCGTTTTGTTAAATCCTCGAATTTATGTAGTTAATGTACATTGTACGTGGTATAAATCTGATTACTGAAATCTTTAAAAAAAGTAAAAAATAAATTAGAATAATTCTCACACTTGTGGCTGATTGTTCTACAGTAAACATGTTACAAATGGACAGAATATTTGTACAAAATTCCGACAAGAAAGTGGTGCACCCTAGTTTTGAAATTAGATCTACGAGTAACAACATTGAACTGGCTTGAAATCATTCAAAACTAGAGAACAGACCTTTAAAGTCTCATTAAGGCAACATAGCTATTAGTTACAGCGCCGAGTATAGAAATGCTTTACATTATGATAATACTAAATTCATTGACGATTCAATTATTAATAAACTTTTAAACTGACATTTCGGTTTTCGGTAAGGCAGAGCGGTGTGTATGTTCAAATACTTACAATTGTTTACAATTGTAAAGCCAATGTTACGAATACTAGTAAGAGAGCAAATTTTGATTGAGAAAATTGTTAAAAAAATACTTTGCTTCAATACAAGAGTTGATATTCATCGCTGTTTTCTTGAAGGCACGTTTGGTAAGAAAGCAATAAAGCAGAGTCATGAAGTTTCAGATTCTTAAGTGAGTTGAGGTTCGATCAAATCCATCCTTAGATGGTGCTTTTGGAGAACGATACTCTGAAAAAAAACGAGTTATAGTCTATTTCTCGTAAAATAAACAGTTGTACGTTGTAGCCTTGTTCGTCTATTCTCTATGTATTACTTTTGAGGTTTTTAAACTTACAATAAATTTGATTTTGAATGGGGAAAAAATATAATTGAGAAAAAAAGTTAATTAATCAGAGCCCGAATTTAATGAATTTGAGCCGCGTCTTAAATCCACAAAAATCCGGTTTTAATTGAGCGCCGGCTTTAATCTTAAAACATTGAATGCAATTTTAAGTGGAACTAATGATATTTGAGCCGCGTCTTATATTCAAACCTTGGCTCAAATTTTAGACGCGGCTCAAATATGATTGGTTACACATAAAATTGTATTCAATCCTTCAAGATACAAGCCGGCGCAAAATTGAAACCAGTTTTTGGCAGATTTGAGAAACGGCTCAAATTCATTAAATTCGGACTCAGTTTAATTTAAAACTCTTTCCTCTCCCGCATTTTTTACGCCAGCTATGAGCCCCCCCCCCCCACCCCTCCATTCAATGACCTTCGGTGCTACCGATGACCTGAGCTTTAATTATCAAGTATAAAACATGTTCGCTCTGATTTCCTTTTCCTTTTTATGGGTTTAAGGCCGAATTTAATGAATTTGAGCTACCGCCGGTTAAAATTAGTATAACATTCAAATCCTTTAACTTTGAAACAGTGGTTCAAATTTGAACCACCAGTAGGTAGTTTAGCGATGTAGCTCAAATTCATTTAATTCAGTCACTGAGAGATTTTTATTACATGAGAAAAGACGACATTATCTACCTAAGATGTGAAGTTTCCGAAAGCTGGAAATTATGGAGTTTTACGAGCGCATTTACCGCATCTTCCACACATCCCAGCTGGGCCAGCGCCATCTTGCGGTCTTTTGGGAAAAATCGGAAAGCCTACAAAGACAAGTTTAAAAAAGAGCTAAATAATAAATAAACGAAGTAATGAATTGTTAAAATAATTAACTCTCTCGTAAAAAGTAAATATGATGCATTTGAATTATATTAACATTGAGACAAAATATATGAAAATAAAATAGAAATTTTACCTGGACTTCGATATCTATAGACGTAAAGGCGGTGCGTAAGTCCTCTTCCTCAACTGTGGCGGGTATATTAGAGAGATGTAAGGTGGCGGAGGGCGGATAAATGTTCTGGTAATTTTTACTGCCAGGCTTCTTAAACCTAAAACATTAAAAAAATTAAGGTAGGATGAAGAAGACATGATTCTATTACGCGGTCGTGGTTGTAGTCGCCTAGGTCTAGACCAGGTTTATAATCACTAATCATCTAAGTTTAGGTAAAGTTAAAATCATGGACAGAGCTGAACGACTAATTGTCAGTATGAAGGAATATTTTTAGATGATTAAAAAATCTATATATATGCAAAACTAGCTGAGTGCCCTGCGTTGCCCGTGGAATTTTATANACTTAGACCTTAACTGTTACAAGTGGAGTCTAAAATATTTAATAAATCAAATTAAGTTTAAACCTAGACCTTAACTGTTACAAGTGGAGTCTAAAATATTTAATAAATCAAATTAAGTTTAAACCTAGACCTTAACTGTTACAAGTGGAGTCTAAAATATTTAATAAATCAAATTAAGTTTAAACCTAGACCTTAACTGTTACAAGTGGAGTCTAAAATATTTAATAAATCAAATTAAGTTTAAACCTAGACCTTAACTGTTACAAGTGAAGTCTAAAATATTTAATAAATCAAATTAAGTTCAAGTTTAGACCTTCAATGTTAAAAGTGAAGTCTCCTCCTTCTACTAGATTGGAAGGTCAATTACCTGATCCGTGTAGATGACTATCGGTGGCTGCCCCCATTTGAATTTTTGGGACAGTCCTTATTGAAATTATGGATGACTATAAATTTAAAATTCGTCAGAATCCAGATTGTGTTGAAAATATTCTTTACCTGAACTGTTGTGTGCTTGCTGTGCAGCACTCTAATTTGTTTACCCAACAACTTGACCTGGAAACAAAAATTTATCCAAAACTGTTATTTAATGGTTATGAAATTTTTTTTTTTTGGTAGGGAAGCTGTTAATATCAGTTTCTCCTAATGTTTTAGCCTTTTTTTCTTGTTTAAACCCTTCCTTAAAGAGACATGAATAATAATATTGAATATGCATTGACTGTACCTTGTCTAGGTTGGTAATGGCAAGCATGGCCTGCTGAGGTTCAGACATCTGAATCAGAGCAGTGTCCTTCTTGTTGAACAAAATCTTTACTCTCTAAACAAATCAACAAATCAATCAATTAATCAATAAATCAAAGAATAAATCAAATCTGGATCAGACCAGTGTCCTTATTATTGAACATTGAACAACATTTTTACTTTCTAACCGGATCAACACAATCAATCAATCAAAAAATAAATCAATCAGAAAATAATTAAATCAATAAATCAATCCCTGACTAATTATCAAGCAAATCTTTCAGAAAAGGATGAATTAAGTTACTTGTTAAACAAATAAATCATTTAATAAAATATCTCAAGAAATTGACTGTTCTCTACTGTCATGCATAAAAAGTAAAAAAAATTCACCCCAGATAAAAAAAAATATTATTTAAGTTTCATTTAAAAGGACAAAATAATTTCATATTTGGTCAAGATAACCTCCTGTACGCACAACCACTCTTAATAGCAACATATAGCGCTGGGCTTTAGGCAACCTTATGGAACTTTTTCTTAACAACTTTATTCAGTATTATAAATTTAACAATTTTGTATACGATTTGCGACTATTTGTGGAGAGAAAATATCTCCTAATAGAATCATTTTGTATCTATTATAGTTATGAGGTGCTTTTCGCAGAGCTCTCCCATGATTAAAATTTATTGAATATGAGATAATTTTGCAAGCGTAGTTGCTAACTTTTCATCTTGAAAAAATGCAAACAAAAACTGCAATTAGGAAAACAATCTTTTTGCAAACGCAATTGCAATGAACTGACTTTTCCTCTAAAAAAATAATAAATAATCAAAAAAAATAAGAAAAACACTAAAAAAGGACTTTTCGTCTGATGAAAAAATGGATTAAAAAATGGCCAAAAATGAGATTTTCGTCCAAAAAATTCCTGAGAATTTCCATTGTGAGAGAAAGTAAAAATAGAATAAACAAGAATATAAATGGATTGGTTGTAAACTCAATCTTATAATATGAAAAGGGATATTTAATTTACTGGTTGGTTGAGTTTTAGTTTAACTTTGGAATCAGTTCGTATACGTTAAATATTATTCACATATATATGAGGTCCGATTTTTATCAGAATTTTTTAATGTTTATTAGGTCATGAATCTTTCTGAGATTAAGGAACTAATGAGGAATAATAAGTTAGCTTAAAGTGTAAAATAAACAACAGTTACAGAATGTTTACGTTTAGAGCGTAAAATCTACTTACCAAAACATCTCCGTACACCCCGAACAGCATAAACAGATGATCCGGCTCCGTATCCACCTCATTCAACCCGGATATAAGCAGAACACATCCGGCGGGTCCCACCATTCCTGGCATCCTCACGCCGACCTGTGCCAGGGCTTGTGCCGAGGGATAGGGATACCCCATCCCGGGCAGTCCTAGACCGGGCATACCCGCACCAAATTGACCGGCGGCAAGGCCGGCCAGACCCATGTGACCGAAGGGTGAACCCAGCATTCCTGATAAAAAACCTGAGCTGTATTTAAAAAGTAAAATGTAGGAAAATTTACAATGTGTTAGGCCCATAAACTGGAATATTTAGACAACATTTATTTTATGTAATAAATTTAGTTTTCAATCAAAAAGTTTAACAAGTATTTTTGTCCCATAAAGTGATTCTTAATTTAATTTTTTGTGATTTTTTAAATAAAAGTTTGATGATGTAGTATCTTGCGTATTAACTTTTAACTGAGAAATGGGTCTGCGTGCACTGCACAATTACAGTTTTCTTTATGTTTATTGAACTATTTAAAACCAAAACTTGAATCTTAACCGTCGTCTTCCTATTCCCAAGTATAATGAGTCTAACTGTACAGTTACATATTTCAATACATAAATGTCACTTTTTATTCATAAAACAAAACAAAAGCACACCAACATGTTTGCAAAGTGCAAACTTAAATGTTTGTAAATAGTTTCAATTACCTGGTCCTACTAAGGACTGGGTAGCTAGAGCAGTAGAGTGTGAGAGGTCCAGGGTTGGGTCCCCAGTTGGTAAACTAGGGTTCATGTAGTCCCTGCTCTTGTCATTGTTAAACTTCACGTTTAGGTTGGACAACTTGGAGTACTCAATCCTATGACAATTCATTCATTCATCCTTTCATTCATTCATTCATTCATTCACCCATCCTTTCATCCTTTCATTCATTCATTCATTCATTCATCCTTTCATCCTTTCATCCTTTCATTCTTCCATTCATCCTTTCGTTCATTTACACATTAGATATTTATTGATAGTTAATTAAAAAAATTAACTACATCTACTTGTAATTTATATCTTTTCCTTAACATTGAATGTTTAACAGGTGTTTTAATTTCCTTCATCTGTTTTTTAGCTGTTAAGTAGAACTTTGATCAAAAGGTTATTTTGACTTAAAAATTCTTATCAATTCTAAATTTTTTTTTTTTTTGAAAAATATACCACTGAAAGAGGCGTACAAGGGGGGGGACTATGGGACGTAGCCCCCTCCATGGCTCAGTGAAATAAAAGGTTAAAAGGGGGGTCTAAGGCATTCCTTAGGAAGAAAAATGTTAAATCTCCCCAAGACAAATTCCTATATTATGTGCTACTACCCCTGCTAAATATATATTCATTAATAAAGCGATAGGGACGGCCGGGTGTGTTTAAAAATTATTCAATAAGAGTGACTTAACAATGACGTACAGATGTTTTGTCGTTAGCTTATAGCCCAAAGGAAAAATAAATTAATAAGAAAGAAAAGTTTATACTTTAACTTTGTATTTATATTTCCTTTATCCACTTTTTCTTTATAAGGTTTCCTCCATTTTTGAATTTAAAGTAATTCATAAAAAAAAATTATATAGCCTCGAATGTTGTTTATCTTAATGATTTGCAGTACATTACCTGAGTGTACAGCACGCATTGTATATATTTTGTCCATCTAATGATAGCTTAGCGGCCTGGGCTGTAATTACATCGGGATATTGGATCAAGGCCTAATATAAAATTTACTGAATAAATAAATAAAATAAATATGTCTTAATGTAAATTAATGTTTCCACTTTATCTTTTACGATTTAATATTATCTTTTTCATAACTTTCATTTTCATTCCTCTTTCTTTGCTGGTTCTTTGGTTCTCTTTAATTTAGCAACCAAGAACTTTGTTATTCATAATTCACTGCCATATATTGGCACCTAGTATTGACCTCATTTAAAGATGTGAACAAATATCCGAATTTAGAAAATTAGTTTTTCCTTAAATATGTTTTTTTTTTTCAAACAGAATACTGTAGAATCAAACCTGAAACGTGTTGTTCTTGGTGAAGGTGACGATCTTCATGACCTTGCCGACCCTGGAGAAGATCTGATGGATCACGTCGAGGGTGACGGGGTACACCATGTGCTCAACAATCACACGCAGGACCGTATTGGCACCACCAGTCTAGAAAAAGGAAAACATAAATATTCGAGACATTAAGTTCAATATAAATAAATTTCGATACTTTTGAACAAATAGCATAATAATAATAATATCTATAATATATGTGATATATATATAATAAAATTAATTTTGCTATAGTTATTTCTTGGAAGTGCCAAAAACACAAAAAAAGGTTGAATTTATAATAACAAATTTGTTTTCCAATTAATTTTTTTCAACTTACCACTTCTTTTCCTTCTGGCATCCCTGAAAGTGCCTGCGCGGCCTGAAGTGCTGCCTGCGCGCTAGCGCTCGCATTTGAATGAGTCTGATCGGTCTTGAGTGCGGTGTGCGTGGAGAACTGAACATAAACAGATCGATCACGGAGCTGAGCAACACAGTTAGTAAAGTAGTTGACCATGGCCACGGCGGCGCTCTCCTCCTCCATCTCAAGGAACGCCTGGTTCTTGCCTTTCAAGACGAGGACGTTGGTGACGCGTCCGAAGGGGATTCCAAGATGGATGATCTCGGCTTCTGTAACTTCATTTGGGATGTTTCTGATATGCACAACCTTAACAAATAGAACGCGCTGATAATCCACTAAAAAATATAATATAGATTTTATTTGTATAAACATTAAACATTGAAGAGAGTTGTCTAAATTTCACAAAGGATCAGACTTCATAAATAAAATCAAAACGACTGAAATAAAATGTCTGCTGTAGTACCCTCAATAAATATTTTAATTAGGTATTTACCTTTGAGGGGGGTCCTACTTTCCCGTCCATTTTTAGTCGTTTTGCATCCTAAAATAAAATAAGAATATTACGCTTAGGTAATTAAGAAGTAATTGGTGAGTTGCAAAATTTTCTTAATGAACTGACGGCTCCTGGAATCAAATTTAATGAATAGTACGTTGACTATATTAACCATTTCATAATATGAACCAGCCACTCCATAAAGCGGATCAACTTAGTAGTTCAACTACTTCTAAGCTATTTAACAAATTTAATCCCTGTGCTATTATCGAGATCATCACCCTAACATATTTAATAAAATCGTGCCCGACTACTTGACTGACTTATCATGACAGTTTTTCTTTCAATCCTTACTGCCATTATCGTGACCGTATGTCTAACTGTTAACTATAATTACCACGACCGTTACCCATATCGCTGGCAACACTGTTTTCTATTTAGATGATCGTTTCCTTGATGTGATTAATATGACCGTTTCCTTAACTAACCTTATTGCAATTATCGTGACCGTTTCCCACACTAATATGGTTGTTCTTATCATGACCGTTACACCACATTAGCCTGATAGTTATTATCGGGACAATTTTTACCACTAACATGGTAATTATTATTGTGATCGCTTTACCCACTAACCTGGTTGTTATTATCGTGACCATTAGTCTGTAGATATGTTTGCATATCCATCCCATCCATTCCTCCTTAACAGAAACTAATATAGTTTCAACAGAGCTTTTATTCAGTTAATTAAACATCTATCATAAATATCAAATTGGGTTCTAGATGAAAAAAGGATTTACTGTTAGCTATCAAAATAAAGATCTTGATAATACAGTAAGAAACAAACGTAACTTATAAAGAATCTAATAAATCAAATTCTCCTATCATTAAAATTTGATTCATAAAAACACAGTAAAACACTCTACAAAGGTTCAAAACAATTGCATTTCTATCTCGTTTCAAGTAGTCTAAAATCAAGAACTATAACTAACAACTTCACCGATGTTTTTCAAACATTTTTTCACCAAAAATATTTTCAGTTTGAGTATATAAAGTCAAGTATGGATCAAACTTTCTTAGCACAAAGTAAACATGAGATATAATTTGGACTATTAACATTGGACAGCCTAGGGATTATCATTTAACTTTTTAACCAATCATTAAAAATATCTGACAAATTTGTTTAGAACATGACGAATGGCAAGAAAGAAATAAGCTTACTTTTAGTCATGTATTCAGAAGGAAGGTGAAAATAAAAACCAAGAGAAGGTAAAGAAGAGAATACTAGAGAAGAGAAGGAAGAGTGAAGGATAAACCCTGTTCTTGCAACGATCTAGAAGAAGAAAATTAAAGGGTTTATTAACGAAATTAGACAGCGATCCGTTCCTACAGATTGCTACTAAAATTTGGTTAAATATTTAGGCTGTAAATCACAAAGAAGAATGGCACACATAACACAAATCTTGAATTGAGTTTACAAGTTTTGTTTTTTACAGCCGCGGGCGTGAGAGAAAGAATAACATTTGAATCAATTAATATAATCAGGAATTTTTATACCATTTTAATTATAAATGGATCGAGTCAACTTAATTTACGTTCACAATCCCTTCAAATAATAAAAACAAAAAGTGATTACTTACCAGCCTAAGGGACCTCAGGAGAAAGTTTACATTTAATACATTTAAATAATTCTGAAATGTCTTTGTTTATATTTTGTAATCTGTCTTCACAGTTAAAGAGTCCGCTAATGTAAACATTCAAAATGTAAACAAATAATTTTTAAAAACTCATAAAGAACATTTTTTAGAACAGTTTCTTTTTCTCCAGGCAGTTGGCAGGTAAAACGCCGGTAAAGCACCGAACATCATATGCTCAGGCCCTAGGTGCGTCAACCCTACGCGCCGCGCCAGGCTTCGAGCTTGGCCGCGCCACCTATATAAATATTTTGGTAGCGGCCAAAGTCAGGTACTCGCGCATGCCGCAATGAATTAAAGAAGAGAGAGTCAGAGATTAGTATACTATTTATATATTTATAGTATATTTTATTTATATTAGGGTTAGGTTAAGTTCAGACAATTTATGGGCCGCACGCTGCGGCTAGGTATAGACTAGGGGGCCGAGAGCCGCGGTTAGGAAAGATAGAGGGCCAAGCACCGCGGTCAGAACTGGTTCTCTCACTGCACTGTCTTAAANGGGGGGGGTCCAAAAATCGTATAGGACAGACCCTATTTGTTCCTGAACTTAGTTTGGTGCTTGCATGCAGTATTAGTCATCAAATGATAAAAATCTGAAGACAACAGTTTGGTCAGGTTTTAGGAATGCGAGAATTGAAAGTGAGAGGATAATTGAATATTATCAGCAGGGTTCAAACCCCTAGTACCAATAATTAACATAAATGTTAGAATTATAAAAATCAAAAATTGTCTTGTTTATCCATACATATATACTCTTTCTGATATATAAACAATTTACTATCTGTAGAGAGAACGGGCTCTGCCCATTTTGTCCAGCCGTTTGGCCGGCGTAGGGAACATACTTACGAATGTCTTGTTTAATTATATAGATATTAATAATTGACATAAATTTGGCAAGCTTTTTCATCATTTTCCTAACTTATTTATTTATTTCTTTAGGTTAGGCGGGTCCAAACTGCATAGTAAATTGTGATTGCTTATTTGTAATATCTCATGCTTTGTAGTTGAATAAATATATGAATTAATGAATGAATCCCTAGAAATCCTTTATTTTCCCCTATTCAGCGAATGAAGTACAAAGAATAATACCGAAGGTTTTGGGTAAAATGACTTTAAAAAGTCAGGGGGAGAAATGAAATGATTTTGCAATGAAATTATTCTCCTTCCCCGTAAATGATGGGTAATTTCCTAGAGATCGATTTTAGGATCCCCGCCCCCTCCTATCAATTTTATTTATGGATCTTATATGCAATACTTGGATATAATTGACCATTTGGCCGCAGCGCCAGGCCCGTTAGCCTGTTCTAGCCGCAGCGCTCGGCTAGGACAGGTTAGGGGCCGAGTGCTGCGGCCACACGTCCATATAAGGTTGCTTATAATGAATGCTACAAACCTTTTTTTTAGGTCAAAGACGTATTTCAAGTCTTCAATTCCGGGTTATTTAAATTAGCACTGTTTCTAACCATGATGCCTTTTTCATGAACTCCTATAACCTCTGTATATTTCAGCACATGTTCGAGATCACCATCCTCGAGATATTCTCCAGTATGAAGATTATGAGAGTTTACGTAAACTAACTTGTAGAGAACTACAGCTGACATACAGGTTGTTAAATTATTCATGCTGTACTTCTCTCAGGGGTTTATATTTTCTTAAAAATATNCATTAGTTTTAAATTAAGCACCAATTTTTTTTACATTTTAACATTAGAAAAATAAAAAACAGTGATAGTCAGAACAAGAGCATGATCTTCAAAGATAACTTCTTTTCCTATTCCTTTTACATTCCTCGCTTCCTTTTTGTGGCAGACACTGGATGTTTGATCGAGTTTTTGTTCAGACCTGACTTAGTTGTTAAGCCGGAACAGGAGCGTAACGTGGAAATTCCCAGCGGACAAGCTCAAAGCCGGGATGAAGGAGAGGCTGGTGGCCTACGAGTCCACGGAGGCCAGGGTGGGTGAGATGTACATATTCTAGTAGAAGTTGAAGAGGAAATATTTCCACGTGAAACCGTTGGATCATAAACAGTTGAAAACCTGGAACATTCTGGAGAATGTAAAACTATAGTGTTCAGAAACATTTGATTAAGTACATATGAAAAATTTACGTATTGTATGGTCTTTTCTGGAGATCTTTTTTTGAAATTTTATCGTCATTAAAGCCGGTTTAATGTTGACTTGAGAGATAATCTATGAACTTGTTTCCAGTATAAGTATTTTTTTCAGAAAAGGTCTTGTTTTTGTTTTGTTTGTTTTTGCAATACAAGCGCCTAATCATGCCTGGAGGAAATGAACCTAAAGCTAAGAAAAGGAGGAAGGGAGGAGACAGGAAGGATAAAGAGAAACCTCTTCTCGTCATTCAGGTGATTATAATTTCTTGGGTATGTGCCCATGGAACCTCACAAATATGATATAATAATAATCTGCAAAATTGACAATTGACATGCAGAAAAGATCTTGATTTTGATCTTGAAATTAAGAAGTTTTTATTTCCTTTTTGATACTTGATATCAAAATTCATCTTTTTTACTACGACATAGTTTTTTTTTTCGAACAAAAAATGTATTAAGATCTTCCTTCGGAAGGAGATGTTTATTTTAAGTTTGAATATAATAAAATTTGTATTTAATACCCGATCCGTCAAATCCTACAATAATGTTATAAAAAAAATTTATTTATTATTTCAGGGTTTGCTGAAACTTGATCATTGTTTTGTGAAACCTAAGAACGAGGATGCTGAGGTTATCGAGGTTCAGGCCGGAGACAAGAAAATGAAGATTGTTATGGCTCCAGGTACAATTTGAATCTAATCAAAACAAATCTCCAATATATTTTCATGAAAAATGGTTCTGTATTATTTTCAAACTTTTTATGCGATTTTTTTCTTGATTTGAAGCTTTCATTTTTAAGGTTTTATGTAATGTTTGCAATATTATAGATGAGTCTATGAAGTCTGAGCACGATACAGTAGCGTATAGATCAGGATATGATACTGGTCCCACCAACCCTCTACCTCAGGTGGAAATTCAGCTGATAAATGATTTTTTGTTGTAAAACTTCATTATTCAAACTGTGTTTCGTGTTATTTTGTCATTTATTTGGAACACTTCTTCTTTCCGGTACTTCTTTGGTTTAGATTGTTCAAGTTTCTGTAACTCAACCAAAAAATTGAATAATGGGGATTTTTTCAAACTTAAAATAATTGATGTCGTCGTGTTCAGGATGAACGGGAGGAGGTGCTGTTTGCGCACAAGAAAGTGTACGATGATGCCGCAGAATATTTTGAGGAGATGAAGAAGGAGACGGAGGAGAAGAGAGCAGAGAGGGAGGAGGTCTGGGCGGAGAAGGAACTCTCAGAGAAGGAGAAGGAGGAAGCTGCTGAATTAAGGTATTGGTCCTCTATCCAGGGGTTTATATTTTTCAGAATTACAATTAGGTTAATATATACCCCTGTCTCCCACCCTTGCCTTTTCATCTCATAAATATCGCCTCTGGGTTTCACTGATAAATTTGAATTTTACACATTTTTCCAATTTTGAAGGTGGTATTTATTTTTACAATTTTATTAAATACATTTTTATTTAAGGCGTGCTAAGAAGGAAGCAAAGCGTAAGCGTAAGGCCGAGAAGGCTGGAGATATTCCTGAGATTGATCCCTCTGCGTATGGATACGCTAAGGACAATGACCCCGACAACCCTGAGAACTACCATGCTCCTGACGAAGAAACACCGTTCGGAAGTCTTGCAAGGGGGGAACCGGTCAGTTCTGGATTAAAATGAAATTTTCCTTTTTTTATTTTGAAAAATCTTAATTTTTCAGCAAATCTCTTCTTTTTATTTATTCCTATACAAATATTTCTACAACTGCAATTTGTTTTTCTATTCCATTTTTAATCCAGTGGGGGAACTAAATACTTTTAGGGTCTTCCTGGTCTTGCAATCCAGACCGGAGGGGAGAAGGAGAAAGGAGAGAAGGAGAAGAAGAAGGAAGTTCTTGTGGAGGGACCTCTTAAACCACCTGGAGAAGAAGATGAACCTGAGGAGAATATGGAGGTACCCCCCCCCCCTTCACACCGATTTATTTGTTTTGATCAAGTAAAAACAGGTTTTCTGTTTTTAAACAATCTGTTTATTATCGTTCGGTAACATTTCAAACATCTTCAGTCGCGTATTTACTGAATTTCTATGTTATGATAAAAAAAAAGATGTTACATAGGACTTAAAGAAAATTAAATAATTATGCCATTTTTTGTAATATGGAATTCATAAGTTTTATCTTACTATTTTTAACTGTCTTGATGAATTTTTTTTTAATGAAAAATCTGTTGCTTGCCTGTTAAATGTCTATTGAGAAAATCAGTCGTGATATTTTCCTTTAGAAATAAGATTGATTTGTTATTTTTATAGATCACTCATATGGAAGGAGACACTAGAACCGTTGTATTAGATGAAGGGAGTACTCGAACTGTAGTACTGGGGGAGGGGGAGGAACAGAGTGGGGAGCAAGGACCATCACAGATGAAAACACTCCCCGGGGTAAGTTTATGATCAGTTGTTGGTATTTGTCAATTTTTAAAGCCTACTACTGTCTATGACATTGGTATTGTTATTAAATAAATTAATTAAATTAAATAAATGGTTCTAAGCGATACAACGACAAATTGACAGTAAACAAAGTCGTAGGGTTTCGAATAGAGTAAATTATTTATTATCAGAAAGCGTACATGTGGTTGATGATAAAAATGACACATTTTTAAATTTTAACTTGTTAAATTCGGTAAAAAGCTAAACTTAAGCTCACAATGCATTGAGGAGAAATGTAAGCGAGGCTATTTCAGTTTTTGAGCTCTGGAGATAAAATGTAAAAAATGCACATATATTAGTCAGCAATGATTGGATAAAAAAAAAGAATTATTTAGTATCACCGATTAAGATTGAGATTATTGTAATGATCAATATTTGAAAAAAAGAAAAAATCAAATTTTTATCATAAATATAAAAAATATGAAAATTTTTCAGGATGAAGAGGAGGACACAATGGAGACTGATCTCACCTCAGAGAACGTTGTCGACATGGCGACTGCTGTCGCCCTCGAGATGGAGGAGAAGAGGAGGAAGGAGGAGTGGGAGAAGATGGAGGTTGAGGTCAAGACGAAAGAGTCTGCTCGGATCCAGAGAGAGGCTGAGGACCTCCAACGCGAGGCTGAGCGAAGTGAATTGAGTTTAGATGAGTTGACCACCCTACGACAGCTTGAAGCTAAACTAGGCCACGCCCTCGGTCAATCACAGGGACCTATGATACCTGAGGTAAAAATTAATTAGTTTAGAATTTTGCCACAATGCTCTAGCATTTCTGTTATTTTGTTAAAGACAAACTTTTGATTATTTGCACCCTCACCCCCTCCCCCGGGACTTTATGGACTTAATTCTAAATGTTAAACTTAATCGCGTCAGTCCTGCGTATTTTAGCCTGGTGTTGGAGATGATTACAACCAGCGTCAGATCCTGGATGCGTACTGGGAGTTTGTGAGAGAGAATCCGCAAGATTTTAACGGTTGGGCCTACCTAATCCAGGTACTTAACACTTTATAAAGAAACCATTGATAATATTTTCTTCTTATCAATCTTCTTAGATTTAAATACATGTCGACAATTTCGCACTTATATCTTGGAATTCCATTTCAAGGATCCAATAAATTTTTACCTTGATCCTATATTTGCATTGATGAAAATTAGGATCCCCATTAAGAAGTGAGTAAAATGGATCGGGATTCTGGATTCGGATCCCCAGTGACTCGCATTTTTTGTTTAAATGTCAAATTATTTTTAATGTTTATAGGCTGCCGAAACAGTTGATATTATGGACGAGATACGTACTGTATACAATGCGTTCCTGCCCCTGTTCCCCTACTGCTACGCCTACTGGAAGCGCTACAGCGACCTCGAGAGGAAGAAGGAGAACTGGCAGCGCAGCCTTCAAATCCTCCACCGAGGATTGGAGGCTATTCCTCTGAGTGTTGATCTTTGGTTGGCATATCTAGAATTATTTCATAAGATGTACAGTACACATGATAATTTCCAGGTACGCATTCAAAAATACTTCTCCTTCTTATTTCAAACCTTATTTTTCATTGGGCTTTTTCGCATTCTGTGTTTATCAACGATTGCTATGTTTTTATCGTTGAACCAATTAGCTTCTTTATTTCATATCGTAAATTCTGTGGACCGTGAAGGAAAAACTGTTAAATCTTTCACCGATCCTTTATTGTTTCAGTCCTTATTCCGAGCCCAGTGTGAGAAAGCTATTGCTACCTGTGGAATTGAATACAGGTAAACCAATTTAAACAACCGAGCTGAACAGTGAACACGTTTAAATGGACGAAATGAGTTTAACTCGTTTTCTCAATGAGACTCCGCCTTTAGAAATAAATTACAAAAAAATTATAAAAAATATGATTCTTTAGATCCGACAGCCTCTGGGAGTATTTTATAGAACGTGAAATTGAGGCAAAGAATTTGAGGTAAGAGACCCATTTAGAAAATGTTTTAAAAAATATGGTAAGAAAAGTAATATGACGAAGAAAAAAGAATTTCAGTTTATTAGGGGTAACCGGAAAGAACTAAAAAAGGAAAGAGAAACAAAGAATAATTACAAAAAAGGTGTAGGGCAATTATGGCATATCTTTAACTTTAATATTTGCATTATTTTTGTTTTTTCAGATTTGCGACAGATTTGTTCCGAAGAGTAATTTCCATCCCGACAAAACTATACAACAAACATTGGGACAACTTTATAGGTACAGAAATCAGAATAATAGGTTGTTAATCTCCATCTTAATCTTATTAGTTTATTAATTTCCTCTTCCTCTTAATGTCCTGGCATTTACAAATTGTGGTCTGCCTTTTTTTTTCGCTTTAAAAATTTTCGGAGATATGAATGATTTCCTTTAAATTAGACAGGTTCATGGTTTTATTTGATAATTTTAAATAAAAACAAAATTTTTAATATCTCTGGTATTTTAAAACGCAAAAAATTAGCAGTTCTTGGGCTATTTTATTATTATAAAAAAATGTATTGCTAAAAGGTTGCTTATTATTATAATGAATGCTACACACCTTTTTTAGGTCAAAGACGCATTTCAAGTCTTCAATTCCGGGTTATTTAGATTAGCACTGTTTCTAACCATGATGTCTTCTTCATGACCTCCTCTAACCTCTATATATTTCAGCACATGTTCGAGATCACCATCCTCGAGATATTCTCCAGTATGAAGATTATGAGAGTTTACGTAAACTAACCTGTAGAGAACTACAGTTGACATACAGGTTGTTAAATTATTTATGTTTTACTTCTATCAGATGTGTATATTTTCCTTAAAAAAATGAACACCCCCTCACCAGCCTTTAAAAATCATTTACCCTCATTTTCTTCAGTTGTTTTCGCTGAATTGTGGAAAACAAGCCTCTGTATGGATGAAAAAAAACTTCACTCTTAATGTCCATTTTTCTCACCCCACCCCCACCCCCGCGATCTTTAAAAATACTTTCTTCTTTAAAAAATGCACCCCTGACTTTATTAAACCCAATCTTTAATTCATCCTTCTTTCCCTTTTTTGTGCATGTTCAAATTTTGATGGGAGTTTTTGTTCAGACCTGACCCAGTTGTTCAGCCGGAACAGGAGCGTAAAGTGGAACTTCCCGAGGACAAGCTCAAAGCCGGGATGAAGGAGAGGCTGGTGGCCAGTCTCGTAGTGGCCCACGAGACCACGGAGGCCAGGGTGGATGAGATGTACATGTTCGAAGAGAAGTTGAAGAGGAATTATTTCCACGTGAAACCGTTGGATCATAAACAGTTGAAGACCTGGGACATGTATCTAGATTATGAGATTAGGAAAGGAGATCATGAAAGGATTGTTGTACTTTTTGAGAGGTAAATATTTTACTGACTTTTCTTGCTTTCTTTTGAATAAATAAGTTTTTTTTCAGCTACTTTGATCCAAATCTATTAGATCCGCTTGTTAGCCATCTTGAGTCTTTATCCGGATCCGAATCCTAATGAGTGGATCCAATTAGTGAAATATCAATCAAAACCTCAAAAAAATGCACTTAAAGTACACATTTCAATTTAACCCTATTTAGGCGGACGTCTGGTTTACCTAAAATAGTCGGGGAGGGGGGGGGGTCCCAAGGACCCCCCCTCTATTTCTTTTATGTGATAAAATATAACATTTATACATTACTTGAAAGTGGTTTTGCTCCACTAAAATAATCTGGAAAAAAATTTCAAGTTTGCAAAATTTCAAATTTGTAATGCATTATAAATTTATTAAGCAAAAAATGTGCAAAAACGAAAAGTGCGCGAAACATGATATTTTATAGATTTTTGAAAAGCCCTTGAACGCCAAATTCAAGGTTGCAAAAATATTTGCAAAATTTTTGCAAACAAATTTTTTTCCAAGGAAAACTGAGAACGTGCAAATTCTCTTTAAAGGCATTTGTGCAAAAATTTATGCAAAATTTCTTGGCAAAAATTGTTGAATTTGCTTTTGTGCGGGCTTTCCAAAGAGCTATAAAAAGTAGAACTCCGCTGGACTGGAAGTGGGTCTAAATAAAGATTTAATCGAGTTAAGGTAAAATAAGGCATTCACAGTTGGTGCAAAAGCTCTGCTCTGACCCTAAAGTGAGGTGCATGTATTAGTTAGAAAAGTCAAAAAAAATTGACAGCCTCAGACCAATAACTTTCGAGTTATCTCCAATAACGTCAGGGGGGTCCCAGGGCCCCCCCATCCCACCCCAGCCGGATTAGAGTTAAAAGTTTCCAAATCGTTGATTGGGGAATTCAAGTTTATCCCGACTTCCAGAGCATTTTGAAAATTTGTATTTGGTAAAAGAAATTAGCAAAACTTACAGAAATATTTCATAGCTTGAATTAATCAAAATGAGATGGATCCTAAGTACTAGTCACAAGTTATATTTTAGGTGTTTGATCCCTTGCGCGCTCTATGAACAATTCTGGGCAAAATACGCGCGTTACCTGGAGAAAGCTCATAAAGAGAAGAAGGACCTTCCGCGCGTCGTAGAGGAGGAAATCGACGAGAACGGGATCAGGAAGGCGAGGTCAGCCTTTAACACTGGCCTCGACAAGGTGGACGAACTCCAGGATAAGAGGACGACCTGGACTATGCGAGGCTGGAGGGAAACTTTGAAGGACGGAACTCAGGTTATGAGAGCGGAGAAAATAACAACCAAAGATCTCGAGGCGGAGAAAGCTGAAACGGCGGAGAAAAAGGAGAAGGCAGCTGCGGAGTTAAAGGCGGACGAAGGATTTGAGAAGGATGGGGATAAAGAGAATGAGAACAATGAGAATAAAGAGAATGAGGAAACAGACAAGGATGAGAAAGCAGAAGGAGAAAAAGAAGGAAGTGAAAAAGAAACTAAGACATATAGCAACGTAAGTCAATTTCATCTTTGACACGTTTTTAATTTAGATTGTCTTTTATTTTTGTTTAAAAGAAACTGAATTTAGGATATTGATGCTGAAATGTCAATGGTGGTGATATCCTCTGCTTGGATGGAGAAGCGAGGCTGGGAGGCCGTTAGAGATGTTTATAAACGGGCCTGTATCGTTCATTGTCCCAAGAGGGCTGTTATCAAGTAAGTTAACTGCTTTTAATTAAAATCGAAACTTAATAATAAAAAACTTTATGTTCATATTACAATGTGAAGTTTTCTGATATATCATTGGTCAATTAAGTTTCTGCTTAAAAATATGCAAAGAAGGAGAAAGTTTTTTTTTAAATTTTAAAGTAAAAGAATTAAACTAAACTTTAATCGGATCCGCTTAAAATTTTAAAAGCATTGCAATTATCATTATTTTTCATTCTTTTGTCATTTGTTCATTTAAGCAAAAATAAAAAGTTCATTCTTTATGATCCTATTATGCATGAATGATTAGGATGAAATGGGCTGCATTTGAGGAGAATGTGAATAATATTGAGGAAGCTAGAGAGATCCTTCGTCTTCTCATTGCAAAATATCCAATGTTGTTGGAAGCTAGGTAGGCAACACCTCCCCTAGGGTGCCCCTGAAAAAAAAACCAAGATGTGCGACACATTTTTTAGGAAGCATTAGGGTAAAACTAGCTCAAATACGAAACTTTTAGCATTTTAAAATAATTTTCTTAAATGGGCATGCTATTTTACTTTTTTCCCTCGCCATTTTTTTATATTAACCTTTTTAACAATTCTTGGCCAAATAGGGCACCCCCCCCCCCCCCCATCCATCCCAATAGCTGTTTTAGCTAGCTGTTTTTATTTTCAATTTTTTACTAGAAAATAGTTGGACCTATAGTAGCTTCTTGCTTCATTTTTAACAAGATGAAATGAAAATAATCTTGTGTCAACCATATTTAAGGATGCAACAGATAGATCTTGAACGGCGGCAGAAGAGCTTGGATGTTGCGGACAAGATGTACACGAAGCTGATGAAGCAGATCCCCACCAAGCACGACAAGTACAGGAACATGAAGACATGGATTGCCATGAAGTACGCCAGGTTCCAGTTCAAAGTTTGCAATGACGTGGAAAAGGTACAAAACTGAACTTTTTATTTAAAATCTCTAGTTCTCAAATTATTTTTCTTTATCCTCCAGACTACGTCACTAATTATTGTCTTTGACTGCTGTCGTTTATATCAAACCGTATTTTAGACGTAGTAAGTTCGTTGCTTATTTGATAAACAATGAGCAATAGTATATTGGTGTGGCCACAAGGACTACAAAACTGTATTTTCGTCTACTAGGCCATATTTGGAACTTGTGATTTGATTTGGTATTTGGTCACTCAGTGGTCAATTGTCAATGGTCATTGTCAAGAAATGATTTACGACATTTTGAGATAGAGCTAAGACCCATTTTTTAATGGGTCTATCTTTTCAAGCAAATTATGCCAGGCACTGAAAAATATCTTGACATCACTTTCCGCCTCAATCCACTTTACCAGTCTATAGTTAAGAGATTTTGTAAATGTATTTAAATAGAAAAATATAAAATCAGAAATAAGAGGTTTAATGTAGAAGTCCCCCGGTGTGGGAGACCTTGACCTCCTAGTCAATATGTAATATCTTTTTTAGGCTTTGGCGGCTCTACGTACGGCATTAAAGAAGGAGCGAGGAAATGCCCGGCTTTATTCTCAGATTATAGATATGTGCTACCAGAGAACACCTATTGATGTCAACGGTAGGATTATTAATGTTTGCTTCATATCAGTTCTGTAATGGTTTTTCGAAGAAATTATATTTATCTTATGAATTAAAGCTTCATGATCACTGCTGTAATCGGAAGCCGAATTTAAAGAATTTAAGCCGCGGCTCAAATATGGTTGGTTCCACTTAAAATTGTATTCAATTTTTCAAGACTTAAGCCGGCGCTCAATTACAACCGGTTCTTTGGGGATTTGAGACGCGGCTTAAATTCATTAAATTCGGACACGGATTCACTAAATTAGGAATAACGTGCATCACTGTTTCATCAAAGTTTTTATTAATATCTTCAACATCCTCCATATCATGCTTTTTTTGAGCATTATAATTGCTGTTAATTCTATCTGTGTATTGGATATAACCTGTATTTCAAGAATTATATATAATTTTTGCTTAAGCGAACGTTTTTTACTTAAAAATATCATTTTTCAGCTTTATAACCTTAACATTTTTACATATTGGGAATCAAAATTATTTTTCATTTTTTGGGGGGGTGGGGGGTGGTTATTGTCGAGATGCTTTAGGTTTGTTCAATTTGAATTCAATCGCGTTTATTTGATAATTCAGCAATCATTCAGCATACGGAGTTATCTTGTTATAAATACATCCACTGCCAAAAAGGGCAAAAGGAAAAAAGAAAAAAATTATTTTTAAAAGGTAAAATAAAAATGTGATCGAAGGGTTCACATTGCCGAGAAAAGGACCTCTCTATTAAATCATCGTGGAGGGATTTTTCAATATTATTTACCCAAGTAATATGTTCCGAGTTCAGGTGTAACTGCTGCCTTGGAACTCTCCCTGGTCTCCAAGGATCTCTCCAACATGGAGAAACTGGAGTTCGTCAAAAGGAAGGTCGAGTTCATGCAGGAGTTCGGGGATGTCGGCAGGTAATTATTCTTTTCTTGTCCTTATCAGACCTAGTCATTGTTTTCTTATTTACGTCCATTCGATTTATTTTAGGTCTTCTTTTCAGGTATTCTTTTTCAAATCTCCTCAATTTGATTTGACTCTTGATTGATACGCATAACATTTCACTTTGACTTAATTTTGATTTTACTGTGTTCTCTAAGCAGTGAACAATAAATCAAACAGTAGTATTCTACTCCCTTTATATTTGTAACCTGCTGGTGTAAACCTTGACATCGTAGAACTTGTAATATCAGAGGCCGTTGCACAGATAAAAAGATTAAAAAATTAGAGTTAAAGGCAAGTTTCCAGTTCTTACTATTTCTTTTCATGTTTTTCTTTTATCCAGATACCGTGATGCGTGGGACCAACTTAAAGGATTCCGACATCTTTGCTCTGCAGATCTCAAGGTCGAGGCTAAGAGGAAGAAGGAGCTGGAGGCAGAGGAGAAGAGATACAGGGAGTTGGAGGAGATGAAGTCGCAGGTAAACTTTTTACTTTGTTACGTCATTTATTCTTTCCTTACTATATGTATTCAAATCTTCATCTTTCTCTTCATTTTCCTTTATTTACTCATTTCGTTTTCAATTTGCGCATTTGAAAATGTCTTCATTCAATCTTCCATTTATTTGTTCATTTATTCTCTTTTCCTCCCATTATTCATTCATTTTTTCTTTTATTTTAACTGGGGCATATGCTTTTTAAAAACTATTTGGTTTTTTTCAGATAGACTGAAACTTTCACATTTTGCAGCAATAATATTATGGTTTAAGTAATTTAATATAAAATTGACAAAATTTAAAATATTTAGGCCCGAGCTGAAGTGAATATGAAAGCTAAGCTGGCAGAGGCTGAAGGTCGTCTACTCTGTAGTAAATGTCAAGGAGATATGTTACCTAACAAGGATGGGGTTTATGAATTCGAGACGTTTAGACCAGGATACTCGGGTACATTTATTCTTTCCTACTTTTTTTTTATTGGTTACCTAAATTCTTTTGTATTTTATGTTCATTCATTGTAAATTGTTGTTAGTGTAAGTCTTGCAGATCATTTCACATAATTATATTTGATACTTTAATTCGTTTTTATTTTTTCGGATATTTTTTCAAATTCTCATTCATCTTTATTTCTTCTATTTGTTACTTTCATTCATTGGTTGTTACATCATTCTTTGTTTCTTTCTTACATTCATTCATTTTTACTTTCATTTGCAAGTTCCTACTTTTATTCATTATTTGTTACTTGAATTCATTTGTTGTTGCTTCGTTTCACCAGGTGCTACTTCCCTTCATTCATTTTAATTTCATTTACAAGTTTACTTTTATACTCTTTGATACTTTCATTCATTGTTACTTTCATTAATAAGTTGTTACTTTTATTACTTGTTTGTTACTTCGATTTATTTATTCTTAGCTACTTTTATTCATTTTTAATTTTAACAATGTTACTTTCGGAAGTTGTTACTTTCATTCATTGGTTGTTAGTTCGTTTCACCATTTGCTACTTCTCATTCATTGTTATTTTCATTCAATGTTACTTTCATTCATTTGTTGTTACATCATTCTTTGTTACTTACATTCATTGCTTATTGCTTCCATTTATTAAATTTATCATATTATCTGCTTTAATATCTTAGGTGGAATATTTAGTTCTTTATCTTAAATATGATAATTTTACCCTTACTCATTTTTTGAAATTATCACTCCTTTATTTTACACGTTTTAATTGTTAAAATCTAAGTATTAAATTTTTTTCGCATTAATGCTGAAATTTTCATTTTTTATTTGTAGGAGTTGTTCCGTATTCTGAGAACCCTGCTGAGCAGCCCGTCCAGGTGGCCGAGGAGGGGGTCATCGACCTCATGGACTTTAACATGGACCCTGACGAGGAGGAGAAGATCAGACAATCCCTCCAGGAGAAAACTAAATACAAGGAGGTCGCACCAACTTGGGAGCTTAATATCGAGAAATACGGTAATAAACTTTCTGTAAATAATTGTAGATATGATAGAAATAAGATGACGGCATCGATTTTGGGGATTTTCTAATCTTTTACCCTTTTTTGTCTGATCGTTTATTGCTCGCAAGTGAATGATAATAATAATGGCCGACCCCTATTTCATTAAATGCTGGGTTTACCTTTAATAATTATAATAATAAAAATGGCTTAGAACCTTATTTTAAAAAGATTACATCCACTGGTTGCCAGGATGAACAAGATAAGGGTTTCAAATAAAGAACAATGTAAAGTTTGATCACTGCTACTACTAATAAGTAAATATAACTGAAAAAAGAATCCAAATCATAGTAAATTATTAATTGAAGGAATTGTTAAATAAGTTCTTTGAACCATGCGAATTTTCTTAGCTTCGGTCAAATATTCTGAGTTGACTTTTTCTTTGTTTCCAGGAAAAGCTGGGTTTCCAAGCTAGTCCACATATCAAAAATGTTCTACTCTTATTAACTGCGACTTCAGAACAGTTAGTGTGGAAAATTGTGATTGAATTTTAACATTGTTGTATTAAGGATACGGAGCTAAGAGGCGGGCGTATGATCCCGACTACGAGCACGTGGAGAACAGCAAGTACAGGGAGTATGAGAGGTTGGAGATGGAGGGATACGACGAGGGAATAAAAGATCCAGAGGATAACAGGAAAAGAAATGTCCAGGTTAGTAAAACAAATATAATCATAATTTTACTGCTTATGAATAAAAATCTTTGCAACAGATTGAATTCTTGAATTAATGATGGAAAAACAGATTTTTTAAGATTGAATAATCAATTAGTGGAATAATCAAATATGTGGATTGAATTGATTGATTGCTTTATTGTTTGTTTAACAGATGAACTGACTGGTCAGCTACAAATTTTTGATTGATTGATTGATTTATTGCCTGATTTCTTGGCTAAGGAAATAATTGTCAAATTGGATTGACTGACTGACAAATTGATTGATATAATAATAGATTGATTGATTGATTGATTGATTGATTGATTGACCTGTTAAGGCTGTTGGTCTGGGACATAAGCCTGGTGAGTTTACCCCCGGCGAGAAGAAGTACACCACTTCGGACTATATAATACCTCCGAAGGTTCCACAAATGAGCAACTCAGTGGTCAAAGGGAAACCTAGTGCTCCGGGTAAGACTATCCTCGATGTACTCTATATATCCTCGATGTACTCTATTTCCTTAATGTTCTCTATATCCTCGATGTACTCTATAATCTATATCCTCGATGTACTCTATATTCTCGATTTATTCTATATCCTCCATGTACTCTCTATACTTGATTGTACTATATAACCTTTATTACAGGTGATCTGACCGAGCATGAGATGCACGCGTTCGAGCTCCCGCCCGAGCTGGCCGACCCTCAGAAGTCCCCCTGCGTCAATGTCCCGGAGTGGTTTGTACGAGAAGGCGGAGAACTCTGCTTGTCAGATACTGCTAATGGAACATCAATTATCAGGTTAGCAATTTCTTAGGAAGGAAAATCAAAATTTGATGAAATGACGATTTTTGACGTTTGCATTAGACGTAAAAGTATTTTTCTTATGTAAGTTTTAAAGTGGAATCTTATTTGTCATTAAAAATAATGTGTGTGAAAAAAAAGGTCCTCTTTCTTCGGGGGGCGGGGGTTAAAAGGAGAAACTTAATTGAACATATCTTTTTGTTTAGATATTGGCCCAAGTTCCTGTCTGAGAAAGGAAATGATCTAATGTTGACAAGACTGAGGAAGTATTGCCGTTGGCATCAGAAGCAGGTGCAAAAAAATCGAGACTTTTTAAAGGACGCTTAAAAAATCTGATGATAATTTTGTTCTTTTAATTCATAAAACAATTCACTTTGATACAAACTCCCCGAATCGGAGAATCGGATTCGGCACAAAAACTGCTAAACATCTGAAGAATTATTTTTAGTTTTTGAAACTATTCATGGAAAGAACTAAATTAGAGTTTAAAATCAGTATTTCCCCGCTATTTAATTCACAAACGACAAATTTTTAACAGTTAAGCGCTTGATTTTTGTGCATGATTGCTCATAATTTTTTCCCCACACCTGGATCTGGATTCTAGCTTGATATTTTTGAAAATATTGTAAATACAAGTGCTGATTAGGTGAAAGTTGGTGGAGAATGGAAGTATCAGCCCCGTCTTGTGTCCTGGTATGGACCCTGTGACTACGCTTACTCTGGTCTAGTCATGGAGAAGAATCTGAACTGGGCTCCTGAGCTCCTAGATCTACTCCACAGACTGATTGGGATGACAAGACACGAGTTTAACTCGTGTTTCCTCAATCTATATAGACACGGGTGAGTCCGCTATTACACCGATATTTCCACATATTGTTCTAAAATTCTGTTTTTTTGTAGCTGAATTCCAACTTTTGCATTTGGGGAAATTAAATGATATGGGGGGGAGGGAACTTTAAACTTTTTCATTTTTCCTGAACCATTCGAAATAATTTTTAAAATTCTTTTAGTTATCCCATGACTTTTCTCCCATTAAAAATGTATGCATCTTTAATTTACTTCTGAATGATATATTTCAATTTTAGATATGACATGTGTGGATGGCACTCTGACTCCCACCCCCAGCTGGGTAGGAACCCCCCGGTCGCCAGCGTGTCCCTAGGGGCCGTCAGGGTATTCGAGCTCAGGAAGAAGAAGGTGGGTTACACATATTATTTCATTTTAAAGGAAGTGTTTCAAAGAAAATAGGTATAGGGTAAATCATTATAAACAGTGAATCAATTAGTACTACTTTTATTTCAATCAGATTATATCTGTGAAGTTGGTTTAAAACAGGTTCCCATTTCTAGGTTTCTATATTTTTAAAACAGCAATTATTTGTTTTTATGTTTTGGTTATCAGCTTCTGAACACTTTAATTAAATATACTTCTGTTTTCTTATAATATTCGTTCTAGCAAAATATGATGCCCATCTTTTTTCAGAATTTTATCATTTATGCACAAATAAGCTAATTGAAATAGATGCAGCTGCTGAAATTAATATGGGGGTTTAAAACATGTATTCTCCTAAAAACACTGTGTTCTGTCTGCAAGTTTCCGAAGATTTAATCCTAAAATTTGAATATGTTAAGTTCCGATATACTGTGAATTGAGATAGAACACATAAATCAAAGGCAAACAAGTTCACATTAACATGTCGGGAATGCATTGTATTATTACAAACTTTCTAACTGGTATCCTGTTAGTGCAGTAAAAAGATTAAAAATATTATTTTGTAGAAATATTTACCATGATATTAATTTACAGATTTAAAAATATGATTGATTGATTGATTGATTGATTGGTATTTGGTCAGGGTGCTCCTTATTTTATTCGGTTCTCGTTCCGTTGTTGATTTATTGCCTGGTTGATTGATTGATTGATTGAATGCTATGTTAGGGTGCTCCTAACTTTATCCGGTTCCCTCTGTTCCCTGGTTCCCTACTCCTGATGGAGGGAGCAGTACAAGAGGATTGGTTGCATTGTATACCCAAGGATCCAGCCTGTAAAGAGGAGAGGGTCAACCTTACTTTTAGGTCAGAACATTCATTCATCTTTTCAATTATTAAAGGGACTGAAGACGTTATTTCAAGTGATCCTCTAGTTATTAAGTGCCATGTCAGATTCGAACCCATTATCCTACAAGTAAACAAGTAACGTTTATCTATGTAACCGTAAGGAATTTATCTTGAGTGTTAAATTCTGACAATAATTTCTATTTCTCCAATATCCATTAATTCGCGAGTTACTTTTTCCAATTGAAATTTTTTTAAAAATATTTTTTCATTCATGTAATTTCTCAATATTCATTTATTTTTTACTTAATATATTTTTTCTTCATATTTTCATTTAGAAACTATTTTGATAAATGTATTTTAGTATTCTGTAAAATTATTATAAAGCTAATTGATCATATTGCATGCATCAAAAATCTTTATTCATTCATTTATTCTTCTCTTATTCTACTAATTTAATTTTTTCATTCATTAATTCTTCTCTTATTCTACTAATTTAATTTTTTCGTTCATTAATTCTTCTCTTATTCTACTAATTGAATTTTTTCATTCATTAATTCTTCTCTTATTCTACTAATTTAATTTTTTGCATTTATTTATTCTACACTTATTTTAATTTTTTCATTCATTAAATCTTCACTTATTTTACTAAATTAATTTTTTCATTCATTAATTCTTCTCTTATTCTCCTAATTTAATTTTTTCATTCATTTATTCTTCTCTTATTATACTAATTTATTTTTTTCATTCATTTATTATTCTCTTATTCTACTAGTTTAATTTTTTCATTCATATTTTCTTCTTTTATTCTACTAATTTAATTTTTTCATTCATTTATTTTTCTCCCATTCTACTAATTTAATTTTTTTAAATTTAATCTTCTCTTATTCTACTAAGTTAATTTTTTTCAGTCATTAATTCTTCTCTTATTCTACTAATTTAATTTTTTCATTCATTTATTCTTCTCTGATTCTTCTAATTTATTTATTTTCATTCATTTAGTCTTCTCTTATTCTACTTACTTAATTTTTTTAATACATTAATTCTTCTCTTATTCTACTAATTTAATTTTTTTTAATTCATTTATTTTTCTCTTATTCTACTAATTTAATTTATCTGTATATTTCAGGATCATGTACTCTGCTGCCAACAACGCCTTCTAGACCATGTTCTTGAGGCTGGAGAGGGAGGATAAGAATTTATTCATTCAGGTGTCCCAGAATAGTGCATTAAATTTTTCATTTTTTTCTCCATTATTTAATTTTGGATATTCATTATTCAGTTAATAGTAATTTGTTAACTTAATGTTATGCACAATTTAGGGACAACCTTTACCCCTTAGGTTGAAGAAACCGGACACGGAACTATATTTGTATTTATGTACAGTGCGTACAAGGTTTTAATGTACTGCTTGTGTACATCATTGTAATTTTCTTCATGATTAAATTGTATCAGAAAATAAATTTGTGTATTTTTTCAAACAGATAAAATGGCGCGATTGAGAACATAGTAATGAAGCGTTTGTCAATCTGAGTGAGGAAACAGCATGCGGAGGGATGAGAAGAGTGTCTTTACAACGCATTGGTGAGACTTGAACTCTTAGATTCAAGAAGTGTATTTACGAAATTAGTTCTGTGAAGTGAGTTGGGAAATCTGAGCTGCGTTTTAAAGTGGGCGGAAAAGTTAAACTCATTCTTCCATATTCAATCCGTCCTAATTAATTTAATGATTAATCAAGCCAGAAGTCAAAGGAAGTTACGTGCACATGCTGCTTCTTGTAATTCAACGCGGCAAGTGAACGTAACTGCCTTTAACTTATCGCTATCAGTGAAATGAAGTTGGAGGGGGGAGTGCAGAAGTCCTCTTTTGTTAATCACCGCCACCCAAACATGTTTTGTGGCATGCGCGCTACTCAATTGGTAATTACCGTAAAATATTGTTTTCAGAGATTTTAATTAAAAGCATTTTTAACACAGTTTTCAATATCAATCGGGGTTTCTTGGCATGTGGATTGACTTAAACTAAATTTTAAATTTGTTTGCAGATTGGATTGGTCAACAAAAACTGAGAAACAAGACATAGTTTATAAGTGCCGAATCTCGGATCTAATTTGACAATTTAATGACTGAATGTCATGATTGGAGTTAAGATATTAAAAGGTCGGGCTGTCTGTTTACTAAAAATTGTCTCACTGAGCCCAAAGTAATATTTATCTCCATTTAGAAGATATTTTTTAAAACCTTTACAGTGTTAAGATTTTTGTATTCGCCTACTCGAGTTCAACATCTGCAACAAAACTAACTACATACATAAAGAACAACAAATTTTGAAAAATTGGCCTCATCGCGCCCACTAGTGAAAATGAATTATTAAGTTCACTAATTATTTTAGCGTTTCGTTGCTAAATGAGGAGCGCGCATGCGCAAAAAGGTTCAAAAACGTATTCTTATTTCTGGCGCTTAATGTGGCATATTTTTAGATATATTTTGTAAACTGAGGAGTCAAAAATTCTTTTAATAATTCCCGGGATCAGATTTTATTAATTACGAGACACGGTTGAACTGCATAGACGCGGTCCAACCACTTTCTTTAGTTTGAACCGGCGCCCAAGATTTTATGTTGAACTACGTCTACACAGATCAGCTACTTCTTGTTCATTTAATCTGATCCCCGATTTATCATTTTAAAAGTTATTTTTCTGCACGTTGTAAATAACAGAACGTATAAAAAAATTACAACAATATTTTGGATAGAAGAACCTAACCATTTCAATATTTTGGATAGAAGAACCTAACCACTTCAATATTTTGGATAGAAGAACCTAACCACTTCAATATTTTGGATAGAAGAACCTAACCATTTCAATATTTTGAATAGCTTGAAAAAAAATAAGTCGTATTTTTCAGTTGTTCCAGTTTTTACATTCTTCTGTGGCATTCTATTTTCCTCTCTCTTCAATCAAAATCAGGTTTATTTTTTGTGCAAGCGGAATATGATTATGATTATCAAAACATCGCAATTTATCAAAATCAAGTTTTTCTTTGGGTAACTGCAATTTTTTATTAATAATTGGAAACCCCCACCCACTTGTCTTTAGGTTATTAAAGTCGGTTATATTTTTGTTAAAAGTTTACAAAAAGATTTTTAGAGTTTAATTAATTTTTTTATTTTTCTGTCACATTTTCTGATTTTCATAAAGATAATGAAATTCTCTTTCAGATTTCTGAGAGTTCGTCTGTATCCGAGATTAAACATGAATCTCTCAGAGGTATATACTATACACTATTCAACCTTCTCTTTTAAAAGGATTGTTTCCCTCTAAACAGCCCATTTTCGGGATTATGAACATAACTAGGTCGAATCTTACACTTTGTTTAACTGGGATTTTTGAAATATTCTTTTACAAAGAGAAATATATAATCTGTATATTGCGAGTTCTCCAACCTGGGGGGGGGGGGGGTCTTTCAAATCTTTCTCCTGATTCGGGCCCCCAGTCGTTAAATGAGATTTTGTAAGGGTAATGAATCCTTTTTTAAGTATTGAACGTAGTGAAAACTTATTTTTATTCATTTTGTTATATTAACTGTCATTGTTCTTTAAATGTTCTTGTTCTTTTCTATTTCTCGATCTTGCTCAAGGTTTTATTGTTTTTGTTCCTAGTTTATGTTCTAGGTTTGGTTCATGTTTATTTTTGTTATCTGGGTCTCTGTCTTTCTCTTAATTTTATTTTTATTCCAGGAGAAGAGGAGGGCAATGTTGATCTTCTTATCCTCATTGTATCTGCCCCGTTCAACACAGAGAAGCGGGCAGCGGTCAGGGAGACCTGGCTTTCACACAGGTCCGGTCATTGGGCATGAAAAAAAAGATCAATAAATGTTGTTGCGCTTTTGTTATTACATCGGGTTTTTTTTTCAAAATGTTGCCAGTTCGTGCATTTAATAAGTAAACTTGAAGCAAGTAGTTATTGAGTAATAAAGTTAATTTCTAGGAATATGCGAGGATTTTTTGTTGTTGGGATCCAAGGATTATCAAGAACAGAGTTGAAGGATCTAGGTGGGGTTTAATAATAAATTATTCTGAGTTACAGAAGTAGGATTAATTAGAAAATACCAATGAATGAAGGCTGTTCAAAAGACCACCCTATATTTCGATCCATTTTAAATAAAGAAATAAAGGATTCCACTAGAAGTTAGCATACAACATGACTAATGACTAATGCTTGCGCGGATTGGACTTGTCGGCTAGTATCAGTCTAAAAGGCGAACATTGTACATTAACAAATTCTACTAAAAATCATTCAGGCACGTACTTCAAATATTTCACAAAAATAGGGCAAAAGTCCAAGATATGTGACTCATATAGTATCCAAGTCAATGAAATCTGCCACAAAATATAGTTTATAAATTCTGCAACATTATTATTTTAATCCATAACATTTGCCACTAAGTCAGACACCTGTCAAAAATCTCAAGATGAACCCCTTTAGTGGGCGGCCCTAGGTCTCCAATCCCGGGAGGGGGGGGGGGGGATTTTAGATTGAACCTTTTTTCTTACTCTTATTCATTATTAATCTATGAAAGAGAATCGCTGGGGGTGTTCTGGCCCCCAGTCGACTTCACCCATCAGTACCCTCCCCCCCCCCATTCGATACGCATTTTATACACGCCTGGGAGACTCTGTTAAATCCGCTCAGGTTTTCTTCTATATTAATTATTTCTGAGGGCAAGCAAACACGGGTGTAGGGTTTCCGGGAACCTGAGTTTGCCTCAGGTTGACATTCTCAACCCACTCCCAGGGAACAAATGTTTTCGGGTTCAATTGGACAGTATACTCTCTGCTCAACATTTCTAAGGCAATATGTTCGTAGGTTTGTCTCTCGTTTGGTTGATTACATATTTTGGCTCCTCAAAAGGCAAATTCTCAATGTAAACAATATATGTTAAGCTCCTCAATAGGTTTATCCCTTCTTTGGTTGATTACATATTTAGGCTCCTCAAAAGACAAAGTCTCAATGTAAACAATATATGTTAAGCTCCTCAATAGGTTTATCCCTTCTTTGGTTGATTACATATTTAGGCTCCTCAAAAGACAAATTCTCAGTGTTTAACACCAGGACACTTTTTCCACTGCTTTCAGAATCTATTCTTTATTCTAATATTCTAATATTCTAATATTCTAATATTCTAATATTCTAATATTCTAATATTCTAATATTCTAATGCCTAGCATCATGTTCCCTGACATTGCCAAACCCAGAGTGACAGAATTGCTAATTCTTGAATCATCAACATGCCTTTGAAATGTAAACCACTTTCCAGGCTAAGGTTGAGTCTAGAGAGATCTGTGTTCCTGCTTCTCATCCAGTCGCCGTCGTAAACTAATCTCTTACATCCTCAGAATGAGGTCGTAAACTAATCTCTTGAGTACTCAGGATCAGGTCGTAAACTGATCTCTTGTGTCCTCAGGATCAGGTCGTAAACTAATCTCTTGTGTACTCAGGATCAGGTCGTAAACTAATCTCTTGTGTACTCAGGATCAGGTCGTAAACTAATCTCTAGTGTACTCAGGATCAGGTCGTAAACTAATCTCTTGTGTCCTCAGGATCAGGTCGTAAACTAATCTCTTATGTCCTCAGGATTAGGTTGTAAACTTTCTCTTAAATCCTCAGGATTAGGTCTTATACTACTCTCTTATGTCCTCAGGATCAGGTCGTAAACTAATCTCTAATGTCCTCAGGATCAGGTCTTATACTACTCTCTTATATCCTCAGGATTAGGTCGTAAACTTATCTCTTGTGTACTCAGAATCAGGTCGTAAACTAATATCTTGTGTCCTCAGGATCAGGTCGTAAACTTATCTCTAATGTCCTCAGGATTAGGTCGTAAACTAATCTCTTATGTCCTCAGGATTTGGTCGTAAACTAATATCTAATGTCCTTAGGATTAGGTCTTATACTAATCTCTTGTGTCCTCAGGATAAGGTCGTAAACTTATCTCTTATGTCCTCAGGATTAGGTCGTAAACTAATCTCTTATGTCCTCAGAATCAGGTCGTAAACTAATATCTAATGTCCTCAGGATTAGGTCGTAAACTAATCTCCTTTGTCATCGAATTAGTTCATTAACTAATCTCTAACGTAAGGAATAGTCGTAACTAATATCGTATTTGCTCAGGATTAGGTCATAAGCTAATCTGTTATATCCCTGTTCTTGCAAGGATTAGGTCGTAAACTAATCTCTTACATCCACAGGATTAGGTTTAAACTAATCTCTGCACCTCACCTTGCAAGGATTAGGTCGTAAACTTAACTCAAACATCCTCAGGATTCGGACGTAATCTAATCTTTGCACCTTTTCTTGTAAGGATTAGGACATAAATTAATCTCTGATTTCCTCAGGATTCAATCCTAAACCAATCTCTGTTCCTCTTCTTTTTAGGTTGTAAACTAATATCTGAACCTGTTCTTGTAAGGATTAGGTCTTAAACTAATCTCCTATATCCTCAGGATTAGGTCGTGAACTAATCTTTTATGTCCTCAGGATTAGACTGTAAACTAATCTCTGGCCCTCTTCTTTTAAGAATTCGGTCGTAAAATAATCTCAGGATTACGTCGTAAACTAATCTCTTACACCCACAGGATTAGGTTGTAAGCTAATCTCTTCACATCTTCTTGTAAGGATTAGGTCGTAAACTAATCTCAAGTCCACTATTCTAAGAAACATTGTATCCTACCCGGTAAGACTGGTTTACTGTTTCCTAAGGTGTAAAGTCGCATTAATAAGAAACAGCAGGGTTAACGCGTCAAGTCTTAGTTATCAATAAATACTCTCTAGCTTTGGACTAAATGATGGGGATTTAAAGGTCTAGTTAGAACAGGGGAGGGGAAGTGCACCCTGCTGCCTGGGCGGTCTGGGGGAGTTCACATTGGGACCTCTTGCGATTTCACTTCCTTATGATTACTTACTCCCCCTACATTAATTATCTCTAGAGGCTGAGAAGGTTGAATACGAGGACTTGATATTCCTGGATATGATGAGGGGCAGTGCACCCTGCTGCCTGGGCAGTCTGGGGGGCCCAAAATGGGGTCTCCTGTAGATTTCACTTCCTTATGATTACTTACTCCCCCTACATTAATTATCTCTAGAGGCTGAGAAGGTTGAATACGAGGACTTGATATTCCTGGATATGAAGGAAGAGTATTCTAGTCTAGCAGATAAGGTAAAAAGAAATAGAATCATTAAATTATTCATCAAAATATTTTTTTTATGTTTAACTTTGCATTACTTGCGAGTTTTTAAGATCAAGTATTAATATTTTACTTTTTATTTTTTCCCATGTAATTTTTTTCAAACTTAGGTTCTAAGAATGTTTGAGGTTGCCGCGGAAAGTTATGAATTTGATTTTGTGATGAAGGTTGATGATGATACCTTTATCAATCCCTATCTTTTAGGTTAGTTTTTTTCACTATATCAATAAAAAAGCGGTTTTTTTCTCATAATCTTTTTTGTTTAAGTGGCGCAAGGATGTTGATAATATCTTGTAAAGAATGATTATAAATCCCCCCTTTAATCTATTTAACGTTGATTTAAGTTGCAATTGTCCCATACGAAAGTAAAAAATGTTATTCCTTGATTTCAATTTTTTTCTAAGTGATAAGTTGTTTGTTTATTATGAAAAATTGTATTTTCTTAAAAGTTTTATAATAGAATTTGTTTTTGGAAACATTGTGATGTTACTTAAACATAATAATATATGCGAAGCTAAAGCAAAAAGAACTTTTTTCCTATTGTATGTCATGTAAACAATGGACTGCGTCAAGTTAAAATGTTTTTATATAAATGTTAAATCTACCAACCCACATTTTTTGTATAGATAATGAGCTTAAGAAACCTATGTACAAGAACCCTTTACTGTACTGGGGATTCTTTGATGGACGTGCTCCAGTTCTAAAACAGGTATTTTTTCCTTTTTTATTCTCAAATTTTTTTTCTTGTGTCTTCTTCAATAAAGTTTTTATTGATGAAATAATTGTTTTAACAAAGCAAATGCGTATCTTTACCAGTAATGCTCACATCTTGGGAATTTGTAAATTCATTTTTTTTTTGCTTCACATTTTCGGAAAATTTTTATTTTTTAAGCTGCGAAATGTTTAGTGTACGGTAAAATTCCTTATATTAAATCTAGTTTTACCCAGGGAAAATGGGCTGAAGTGAGTTACGACCTGTGTGACCGATATATACCCTATGCCCTGGGTGGAGGATATGGGTTGGGCTGGAGACTGGTTAAACATATTGCTAGGTTGGTTAATAATAATTTAATGTTGGATTGGTCTCATCTCAGATCGGAACTTTTGTGTGGATTTTTGTTACTCTTGAATGCTTGATCTAAATTTCAAATGTGGACACTTATAAATTTGAGGATTACAAGTTCTGACCTATATTTTTACAACAGAATGCTCAAAATTTGACTAATCAAATAATTTCGTTGAACTCTTATTGGTTAAGAAAGTTTTAGCATACAAAAAAATTGGAGACATTTTGTAATGTTTTTAGTTAAAAAAATAAAGGCATGCTCCAAATATATTTTTCACAAGACGGATCCTGGATCCGGATCTATAACATTTTAGGTCCTTGGGTTTGGATCCGGATCCGCAAACTTGCCGATCCACGAATACGAATCCAAGTGGCAAACAAGCAACCAAAATGTACAAAAAATCGTTCATTCACTGATGAGCAATTATTAAAACCTTCCAAATCTCTAATAAATATTCAGTTACTGGATTGTGCTCTATTTTTACATATGTAACAAATATACATATTTATAGACTTTATTGTACTAGATCTGCTGACATGTTAAAACTGTACAAGAACGAAGATGTAAGTGTTGGTACATGGCTGGCTGGTGTACAAGTTACCAGGGTACATGATGAAAGGTAAGTGTTGGTACATGGCTGGCTGGTGTACAGGTTACCAGGGTACATAGTGAATGGTAAGTGTTGTATATGGCTGGCTTGTGTACAGGTTACCAGAGTACATGATGAAAGGTAAGTGTTGGTACATGGCTGGCTGGTGTACAGGTTACCAGAGTACAAGATGAAAGGTAAGTGTTGTTATTGGTACATGGCTGGCTAGTGTACAGGTTACCAGGGTACATGATGAAAGGTAAGTGTTGGTGTGGTACATAGCTGGCTGGTGTACAGCTTACCAGGGTACATGATGAACGGTAAGTGTTGGTACATGGCTTGCTGGAGTACAGCTTACCAGAGTACATAATGAAAGGTAAGTGCTGGTCCATGACTGGCTGGTGTACAGGTTACGAGAGAGTACATGCTTAAAGGCAAGTGTTGGTACATGGCTGGCTGATGTACACTGTACAGGTTACCAGAGTACATGATGAAAGGTTTAGCTGGTGCACAGGTTACCAGGGTACATGATGAAAGGTAAGAAGAAGAAAAACAATCACCGTTACAAAACATTGAAGATATCGTTTCGCTGTTGTAGAGATTCATTGATCCATATTTATGTAATTTAATTGTGGTAACATTTTTCAAAATTTGTAATTTTTTTGGCAACTCATGAGATTATGATTCAAGATGAAAGTTTAGAAAGGACTTCAAACTGCGAACTGAAACTTAAATCTGATGCAAATTCCCAAATATTAATTTGATTTAAGGTTTGATACAGAATGGCAGAGTCGAGGTTGTTTGAACAACTTCCTGGTAATGCAGAATAGGTAAGCGTTAGATAATGACAATAATAGGAAATATTTCTATGCTTTGCGAGTTTATCTTGGATAGAATTTCTTGCGCTGCAGTCTGGTATGAGCATCCGGGACAAGAATAAAAATGCAGGGTTTGACTATTGGTTCACTTAGTGCTTCTTTAAATCCTTTACTTAAGTAACAGCTTGTTTACGTTGATCACAGGGACACATATAAATCAAATTAGTACCTATCAATGATCCGAATGTTGAGCTTAGAATCAGTCTGTCCAGTAGAGGCTTAGGAGTATACAGACAGAATAAACAGAACACGGGTGCTCCGGAGTGTGAGGTAGATGCGAGGATATTGAGTAGCAACGAGGTTTGATCCTAGCATAATTCTTCGTTAGAATAAATAATGTGAGACTTGTTAAGGTTTAAGATTTTAGGTTCAAAGGTTCAAAGGTTCATTTTACTAAAAGTTCTGCCACCTCGTCATTCCGCATTTGGTTTGGAGATACTCTGAACAAAGACGACATTTAATTCTGTAGAGATTTTACAAGTGAGGCCTGATAGCTAATTGACCTGACAGCAATTGAGGCTGGATAGCAAGTGTGGCGAGAGCAACTGAGGCCTGAGTGCAAGTGAGCAAGTGAATTGATAGCAAATGAGGGGATAGCAAGTGAGGCTGATAGCAAGTGAGTTGATAGCAAATGATCGTGCTCCGAACTCGCTAATTTTGAAAAACCGGTTTTTATTTTTCTGTACTATATCAAATAAAATAGTGGATTAAGAAAGAAATTAAAAGTGTCCACATTGGATATTCGGATGAAGCAGTCGGGATTAAAGGTATCCCATTCTAAAGTTCCCAGAGCTCTAGGTTGGTGGATATCGAGATCAATGCTTGATCTTCTCTTTTTCTTAATCTCCAGATTTAATAATGCATGTTCTCCTTTTATTATTTATTATTAATCTTCAAATTGTTTTACCGATCGGGATTAAGAATATCCCATTTAAAAGTTCCCCGCTCAGCTCAGATTGTTTTAGAAATCCTGATGAAATGCGGGAACTTTGGAGTAGAATATCCGGCGGGAAACAGCTGTGTAAACAGGAAAAGGTGGTCAGGTAAAGGACGCGGCCATTTTGTTAAAAGTTTACGATTTTTTTTCTGTCCAGTGCAGTGTCCACGATTTTTTTGCAAATTTGAAGTTAATATTTTTAGCTTTTTATATTTATAAACACTTCAAATGCCTATTTTTGTCTTCACTCCTGAAGGATGAGTTAAAATTGTATTATATTATATTATATAGAATTTTATATGTTTAGAAAATCCTACGCGTATAACTGGGAACTACCACCCTCACAGGAAATTGGAAACAGTACAATTAACACAAAGTTACTCTTTATTATTACATAAGAGAAAAAAGAAACTTATATAGATTACACTCATGCAATATTCAGTGCGGTGTCCGCTAGTTATACAATTTACCATTATATTTATTTAAAAAAGAAAAATATTAAAAATATTACACGTTCAAGTTTCCTATGCAATATTTAGTGCAGTGTCCGCTACTTACCATTTATCATTACATTTATTTTAAAGAGAAGCAACCTAAAAGATTACACGTCCTTAGTTTCCATTAATATTTAGTGCTGTGTCCGCTAGTTGTCTTTGTCCTACTTTGAACGTCCTGCTGAACTGAAGTGTGAATTGACGTCATAAAACACTTGTTATCTGAACCAGAAGTCCTGCAATAAAATGTCCTCCTGTCCTGGTGCTTACTTGTACAAAAGTTCTATTCTATGAATTTTTAAAATCTTTTATTTTTCATATGACTCATGTAGAATGAATGTTTTTTCTTATGTACACTTCAGGGTTTGTTGTGCTTTTCAGAAATTGTATATTTATTTATTAATGAAAAACGTTTAATATTTTCAGGTGAATAAAATGACTAAACTGGCTGTGATATTTGTATCTTTATGTATTTCTCTGGTTTTAGCCCAGGTACGTTATACTTATTACTTCAATACTTTTTGAGTAAATAAAAACTAAAAAAGTTATCTTTATTATAAAGTTTTGAAGCAAAGTTTCCTAAGATATCATGTGAATTATAACTTTTAAACAAAATAAGCACAACTGGGTTTCTATCTATTCGCAGTTGATCTTTTTCTCTATATTTATCTTTCTTTCTATTTTTCTGCACCCATCTACCTACTTACCTCTGTATCTTTATAGATATAAAATCTATCGATCTGTCTAGGATGAGTTTGTAGATATATATTGTGGAAATATGAACTGTTATGAAGTCCTGGGCCTCCCACGTGACACTACCAAGAAAGATATTGGCAAAAGTTACAGAAAACTTGCAGGAAAATGGCATCCAGACATGTTCAGGTAAATTTAAATATAAATCTTTGTAATTGTAAGATAGAGTTCTTACGTGTACTGTTTAAAAATGGCGGAGTTGTGTGTACTATTTTAATACAGAGCTAGGCAATTTTAGCAATATAATGAAGACGACTTTTATTTAAGTTTTATTTTTTAACTTGTTTTACTTGTTTAAATTGACAGCTTCTCTCTGTTTCTATGTTTTTATGTATCCATGCTGTTAAAAATCTTGATATAAATAAAAATAAAAATAAAAATCGAAAGTCGTTTTCATTATATTGATAAAATCGCCTACCTTTGTACTGCGGGGTTACGTGTTCTGTTTTATAATGGTGGATTTACGTGTACCATATTTTAATGACGGAGTTGCTGAACTTTTTTTAAGATGGCGGAGTTATGTGTACTTTTTTAAGATGGCGGAGTTATGTGTACTTTTTTTAAGATGGTGGAGTTATGTGTACTTTTTTAAGATAAGAGTTAATTTTACTAATCTATAATTGCGGTGGTGCTTGAACTATTTTAAGATGTCGGAGTTATGTGAACAAATATTAAATTTAGAAGAAGTTACATTCACTATATTATGATTGCAGAGTTACGTGTACTATTTTGTAATGGCGGAGTTACTTTTTAAGAATTTAAAATGGCGGTGTTATGTGTACTTTATGATGCGTACTATTTTATAATAGATGAGATGCTTAAACTATTTAAAGATTGCGAAGTTACGTGTACTTATTAATGATACGGATTTACTTGTACTATTTTATAATTGCGATGTTACATGTACTAAACTATGAGTGTCGGAGTGTACTATTTAGAATGACGGGATTGTGTGTACTGTGTTAAAATGTCTGATTTATGTGTAATATTTTAAAGGAATGAGGAGGATAAGGCGGAGGCGGAGAAGAAATTTATGCAGATTGCCACGGCGTATGAGACCCTGAGGGACGAGGAGAGTAGAACTGAATATGATTATATGTTGGAGCATCCAGAGGAGATGTGGAGAAACTACTACAGGTACACAACTATATACTTTTTACTCTGATACGAAGATCAAAGTCTCGAGCTAAAGTGACAAACAGAAATCAAAATGGTGGGGAAATACAAAAATCACTGGGGGGAAAACGGCTCAAAATGGCGATGAAAATTTAAATGCGAGGGGGGGGGAATTATGGACAAGCAACACAAAAAATGACGTTTGAATGATTTGGGGAAGGTTCTCTAAAATCACCTAATTTATTAAATTAGTTAGAAGCTGTATTTCTGAAAAATTACAATTTTACTTTACAGATACTACCGCCGACGTGTTGGTCCCAAGGTGGATGTCCGGCTAGTGTTAGCGGTCACAATATCCTTAATCTCAGCAGCACAGGGAAATCAAATTTTCATTTAATTAAATTATTTACATAAAAAAAAATAACCTTTTTAGTGATCAGGAAGGTTGGAAGGATCTATTTTCAGAGTCATATGTTTTTTCTGGTCGCAACAATAATTTTCAAGTCTTATGAAAATGATGATTTTCTGTTGATCAGTATTATTTCTCCTGGGCGAATTACAATGAAGCAATCAAATGTTTGGCCGCAGTTCCTAAATACAGAATTCAGGTGGATAATTATTCAAAATAAATATTTTCGTAAATGTGCATTGATGGTTGAAAATGGTCGCCAAGAAGCTTACAAAGTTATATTGCTTGCTTTGTCATGGGTTCTAAGCTACTAATTATTTATTAGATTGATCTGATAAATACTCAGAAATAGTCTTCTTTCGGTATCCTTGAGTGAACGTTCTACACGTAGATAAAACAGTATATAGATCGATTCTATCCAATAGGTCATGCAAATCGGTTTAATCTGTATATGCAGTACGCGGGGCATGTACATGTAGACCTCACATCAAACAATTGTTTTTAAATATCTGTCGTTTCATTGATTACACAAATTCAGATCACTCCATTCCTTTTTAAACTTATGTATCATAGTTGCAGAAAAATCATTCATATCAAAACAGTTGACAGAGCAATAACGCATGTTCAGTGTAGGAAGTTTTGAATCTATATATAAATTTGGCTTGTTTGTCTGTCTGTTTGTTTGTCTGTTTGTTTGTTTGTATCCATTAAACGTCAAAACGGCTGAACCGATCGGGCCCAAATTTTTTGTGGGACATCTAGGGAGCCCAGGGAAGGTTTATGAATCATCAAAATTTCAAATATTTGTCTCTATCAAAATTCGATCGTCATTAAATTTTTTAAAATTTTGAAAATCCGCGAATTTTTTTGTAAAAATCCGCGAATTATTTTTGTTTAGTTTTACGATGTACACAAAGAGAACATGTTTACAATTAATTTAGAAGATGGGCGCGAAGCGCCCTCTAAGGCTAGAAAGAAGGGCGCTAAGCGCCTTGAATTTCTAGTTGAAATAAATTTTAATAAACAAATATCGTACTGCAGTGCATTCCCCCACTCGAAGGTTTGTTGTAAACATCAATATAGTGGCTTAAACGTACTCTATTCTTACTACCGAACTATAGTTAGACCCGATTTCTCAAAGGGTCTAATCCATATCTAATCAAGCGCACATTGCCACCCCCTGATTTCACATAAATATCTGCCTCTTGTTTAGGCAACTGAGATTGCCAAGGCGGAGGGGTTGTTAAAGAAGGATAAAAAAGCAGATAGAGGAAAGTCAAAGGAAGAATTAAAAGAAGAAGAGGAAAATATAATCAGGTAGAAATATTGTTTCCAACCTCACAAGCAGACTACTTGGGATCTATTTCATTCTGACGCGGATCCGGATTCCTTGATCCGTCCTTAAAAAACCGGATCCGAATCCGAATACATTTCTTCCAGATTACTGATTCAAATTTTTAAATAAAAAAAATGCTCGCAATTTTATTTTAATTATGAATTTTTTAACAATCTTTTTTTAGTTAACAGTTAACATTTGAGGTTTTTTTTGCATAGGCGTACGTAGTAATAAGCACTGCAGTCAAAAGTTATCGGCTCTTTTGCTTTTTGTTGGCGTAAACTTAATATTGGGGGACTGGGGCAGAGAACAATAAAGATTACTGTTTAAGGAGTGTTGTAGCAGACAAGATGGACGTAAGAGGAGGTTATGCTAAACCAAATTATACAGATATCTTGTGGATTCAGCTTGTACTTTTACCTTACAGTACTGTCAGGTACATACATTGATCATTTTCATTGTTTACTTCTACTGTACAGTATAGTACATCATTCAACGGTGTACACTGTACATTTACCGCGCAGTACAGTATACTGGTGCAAAGTCTGGGATCTATAATTTAAACGTGTCATTAAAGTTACTCTAGGTACATAAACTTGTACATAAGCTGTGTTCTATATACCTGTACTCAAGGAACATGTACTGGTACATGAGCTGGGTATTATACCTGTATAGTGTATAATACTTGGTTCATGATGTGGCTTCATATACCTGTACTCAAGGTACATTTTCTGGTACATGAGCTGTGTTCTATATACCTGTACTCTAGGTACTGGTACATGAGCTATATTACTGTACTATAGGAACATATACTGGCACATGAACTATATACCTGTATCCTAGGTACATATACTGGTACATGAACTATATATCTGTACTCTCTAGGTACATATACTGGTACATGAACTATATATCTGTACTCTCTAGGTACATATGCTGGTACTTGAACTATATATATGTACTCTAGTTACATATACTGGTACATGAACTATATATCTGTGCTCTAGGTACATATACTGGTACGTGAACTACATATCTGTACTCTAGGTACATATACTGGTACATGAACTATATACTTGTATCCTAGGTACATATACTGGTACATGAACTATATACCTGTATCCTAGGTACATATACTGGTACATGAGCTGGGTGTGGAGGTTCTACATTAAGAAGGAAGAGTACGGTAGAGATGAACAACTCCATCTGATCAGGAAGCTGATGGGGGTCAGCCAGGGACAGTTTGATAATATGGAGGTAAAATATTTTATCACAAGCTTGGAAATCCAGCTTTACCTGGAAACCACGTTTTCCCAATAAACGTCAACCTACTCAACTTAGAACTTTAAACCCAAGCTTAGGCTGAGCAAATTCCTGTGGTTCTATCGTGATTACCAATCAAAACTTTAGGTAAATCGGTCAAGGGTTTCATGAGTTATGATCGGACATGCAAACAGACAAACAGAATTTATATATAGAAGATACATAATATAGTCATCCCACGCTTTATAAGTTATTTTTGTTACATTTTTTATTACAGATTTGTTTACTTAACTAAAGACCAACAAATTGTGTTTACCCTTGAACCCGTAATATTTATCAAATTTTTAGAAGGTCCGGACTTAAACATTTAAGGAGGGCCGAGGGCAAAACTTTTTTTCTCCCCTTGATTACATCCTGTATACGCCCCTGTCCTGATGTTTTATTGTAAAGGAGGATGAAGTGGAAGATATGCTTGAGAAAGAATTGTGGAAACCAGATAATTTCAAGGAATACAAAACTAAGAAGGATGCAGAGATGAGGGTTAAAATGGCGGAGAGTGGCAGGTACAATCCCCCCCCCCCCCCGTCATCCTTTTTTACAATTTAAATGATATGAAAATGACGAGCAAAATTCTCGCTTTATGTTTATAGATATTCGTTATTTACATCAATTTTTAGCTTTAGTTTATTCTTTTCAAAACAGTCTGTTTTAAATTTTATTTAAAACTATTTGCACGACATCAAATGTACTTTGGTATAATGTATTGCTATCATGTCGTCTTCCTATTCCTTTACTTTCTGGTTCTCATTGTATCTTGTTTGGTTATAATATTGATTAATTGATTTATTTACGTTTAGGTACAAGCAGTATCGGCGGTACATGAAGAACCACGGCGGGGACAGAATGACGTTTGACGATTCATAAATTTTTGTTATTATTTATCTTTTAAACAAATTTTACACATTTTCCTTGTTTTAGATTTATTCACATTTCTTGTTACTTGTAAAATAAACAATTATCTAACGTTTAGATATTTCTAGCCTTTAAACTTATCTCGGATAATCAGGGGTACTCTTTAAATTAAAAATGCGATTAAATTACGTTAGTTTAGTTCCTTTTTTAACTTATCTATTCACTTGTTAAAAAGTATTTCTCTGTTGAATAAACAAAATGCTGAATGGAGTGAGTTTTTACTCTCTTTGATATAAAAACACATTGTCACGGAACCTTCTCTTCAGAATTTAATTCAATTTATGTCGACTGTCGAACAGAACACAAAGAAAGGATTGAGAGTAAGGGAGTCTTCCAAACTAAAATTTTTATTGGAAGCAAATTTATTATACTTTTTGGTAGTTTGGTACCAAACCCTAAGTTTATGGAAAATTCGCGATCAGTGGATACCCATAATTCGCTAACTCGAGATTTTAGTTACATTATATGTATAAAGCTAGAGGCCAAATTTAAAGAATTTGAGCCGCGGCTTAAATTTGAGACGCGGCTTAAGAATAGTTGGTTCCTCTTAAAATTGTATTTAATGTTTCAACATTTAAGTCGCCGCTAAATTGAAACCGGTTCTTGGTGGATTTGAGACGCGGCTCAAATTCATTAAATTCGGACTGAAAAACCTGGTTCCAACCAAATTGGCCTTGTCATAAGATAGATGATAGAAAATTGCTTAACATTTGAATTTTATATCTTAAGAACACCTATTATCAAGAACACGAATTATTTAGATTTGTTATTAATTAAAGAACATTTGTGCATTTACTTCAAATATATCATTATAAGCGCGCACACAATGGTTTAGGTAAAAACTTCAAAATAAAAAATTCCAAAACTTCAAATCTTCTATATTTTGATGTACTTTGCTTGTCTGTTTGGGTGTCTGTTTGTTTGTTTGTTTATATCTTCTAAACGTCAAACGTTTTTTTTAAAAATAGCGAACTTTCTGTTTGTTTTTTGTTTTACAATGTATACGAAGACACATGTATACACATTTTTTATTCACTTTTTGTTATCAAAGTTTACTAGAAAGCTTATACATGTCATCTTTTATAGGTATATAATTATTCTTTTCAAAGTTAGACTAGTTGATCTAACAGAATTGAAAGTTTGAAATATCAAATCAACGGGTTGCAAAGAAAGATATAGGGATAAAAAATAGAGTTTTTGACAAAAACCTATTTCCTTTGTCAATAATATTCAATGTTTTGTACGAATCAAAATGAAAATAAAAAATCTGAGAAAATGTCATGGGTACAATACAAATGTATTCATAAATCAGTTCAGGAAAAAACCAAAGATTTCTCCAGGCAGTTGAATAAAATAGCTTTACATTGAAACCTTAAGTTTTAGCTGTATACGTTACATACAGGGTGTCCCACATCATATTAGACCGTTAATGGGTTATAAATTACGATTTTCGGGACTAATCAGAAAATTTAAGAATAATGAATCAAATTAAATAATTGAATAAGGCTAATATAAAAAAAACTCTTGCAGAACATGATAAGGTTTTCGAGTATTATGTCCGTATTTTGGCGTTAAAACTTGGAGATGATCTAATATGATATGGTACGTTCTGTAGATCAGAAAAATATGTTTACAATGGGTTTACTTTCTCGGCCATGTAAAACTTGATTAAACAAAAATTATTACAACTGCTAATTACAGATTCATGCATCTTTATAGATAATTTGAATAAAGAATCCTGGCTGTGAATACTTGTGTGGGTTGGAATCCTGGTACATGCAAATAAGTAGTTTTCCTTCTGCCAGCGACCTTAACTGTTCTTCCCTTACACATCCTATCCAGCATATCACCCCGTTCATCCTTCTCTTATGGGGGATTAATGCCTTTTGAATTTCTTCAATGGATGTGTTTGCATTTCTAAATTCTATTGGAGGCTCTTGGTTCTTTTTCTTGAGCGCTTCAATGAGTAGTTTCCTTGGTGTATGCCCTAGTGTATCAATGACAAAAATATATTCCTTTGCCCTTTCCAGCAATAACTCTACTATTCTGGAGTAGAGAAGGGGATCCTTGACAGACCCTTCTAAACGTTTATGCTCAGTGTCTGGATATTCTCTAAATGGAATACCTTCCTTCAGTGATGCAACTATTAAATTTGTTGATGCTCGTAGAAGTCTTGAGTCAACATCATCGTACCGGTCATCTATATAGACTAGCAAAGTTGTGCATTCTACTCCCCTCATACACTTGTAGTTAGTAATCAGACATCCTTCTTCAGCTGGCAGAAACTCATTCAGAATATTCTCATCATCTTTCTTCAGATACTCATATACTTGAATGTCTAGTTTCTTTAGTTCAGCTTTAACCTTGAGACAATCAATTCCATCAATATTATCGGAATTAGGAATTAAAACGAACTTCTTGCCCTTCTCGCAAACCTTTGCCATTGTATCAGCATAAAAGTTTTCTCCAGAGTTATTGATGTAAAAAGGTGAAGGTCCTAGAACTGCAGTAGTTTTCCTTTCAGAAGAATTTAGTTTCTCTTGCATAGCTTGGTCATATTCAACAATTACTTCTGTATTTCTCATCACAGTATTAAGTTGTATACAGGTGTATCCTTGAATGTTTTCTAAACTTGCTATGCATATTTTGCAATGCGGATGAAGAGATATCAGTAAATTCGACTTCACTGTCTTAGACAGGGAATTAGTTACAGACAATAGGATGTCCATGTTCATATTCTTTTTCTGTTGAATATATGTTTTCATCATGCTGTCTCCAAACTCGTCAATTAATACAGCTGATATTTTTTCCTTCCCCTCCTGCATTTCTTTGATGAACTGATTAAGCACTGAGTAAAAGTCTGCCTCTGTAACAGCAACATTCTGTTTCTTGCATATCTCTTGGGCACTGTAAAATATGCATCTGACCCTTTCTTGTTCAGTATTCTCTTGCTCACTGTTCTTTGGACCAATCTTCTCTTGATCACTATTCTTTGGATCAATCTTCTCTTGATCACTATTCTTTGGATCAATCTTCTCTTGATCACTATTCTTTGGATCAATCTTCTCTTGATCACTATTCTTTGGATCAATCTTCTCTTGATCACTATTCTTTGGATCAATCTTCTCTTGATCACTATTCTTTGGATCAATCTTCTCTTGATCACTATTCTTTGGATCAATCTTCTCTTGATCACTATTCTTTGGATCAATCTTCTCTTGATCACTATTCTTTGGATCAATCTTCTCTTGATCACTATTCTTTGGATCAATCTTCTCTTGATCACTATTCTTTGGATCAATCTTCTCTTGATCACTATTCTCTGGATCAATCTTCTCTTGATCACTATTCTCTAGATCAATCTTCTCTTGATCACTATTCTTTGGATCAATCTTCTCTTGATCACTATTCTTTGGATAAATCTTCTCTTGATCACTAATCTTTGAATCAATCTTCTCTTGATCACTATTCTCTGAATCAATCTTCTCTTGATCATTCTCTTTTTGATCATCGTTCTCTCGCAGAATCTTCTGTCTCATCATCAATTCATAAATAGTGGATACTTTTTCCCAGGGCAGCAGACAGGATATAACAAGAACCTTTTCTCCCCTTTCCAATAAAATCTTTAGTTTTTCCAACACTATCAACGTCTTTCCCGAGCCAAAGGTTCCAGATAAGATACATTTTTCTTCCGCACAATGGTCACGGAACCTTAGTTGGTCCTTGTTCCAGAAAATCAGGGTTTCCATGGGATCTCTTTTATATTTTTTTGTAATTTCGGTATCACCTGGACCTATAAACGAGTCACCTATAACTAATTGTTTCTTGGCCTCTACTCCCAGTTTCTGAGCTGGAGATGAAAGTGAAAGTGAAAGTTTAGAATCAGTTTTTAAGTTAGCACAGTGTGCTGATGCTAATAAAACTTGAACTAGCTTCTTGTATGACTCATCAATACACTTCTTTGGCTCTTTATCCAAACCAAGCTGTTCTTCCAGGCTTTTCTTTATGTTGGCCTTTGTAATAATATGCAAACCAGGGCTACATACCTAAACAATGGTGTTTAAATTATTTGTTTACCTTATCTATTGCAAATTGCAATTTAAAAGTAACAATATTCAGACGTTTTGTTGATTTCAAAAAAATAAACTAATTTTAAATTTTAGTTACAGTGAATCCCAGATATATGATTACATAGCAAGACTTTTTTATAATGTCATATTCTTAACATATTTAAGATCAAATGCCGCGTAAAAACGAGTTTAATATATTAATTGCTTTCCTTCATATTTTGGGGCATATTTACCTTGAATTAAAAATAAAAAGAATTATCAAAAAACTTATGACTCTACAATGATGTTGGGATATATTTTCATAAATCTTATTCAACCCCTTGAAGCTTCGAACATCTCAGCAGCTTCCTTTTTGTGCAGACCAACGATAAAGCATAACAGCTGTCATACATTTTTAAATAAATTTCAAGACGACATTTCATGCGCTCTTGCTTTGTATTCATGTATTTGGGATAAAATTATATAAAAAATATTAAAAAGAAAGATATTACAAGCCAAAATTTTTTAAGAATTTCATGATTTAAAAATAATTCTTTCTCCGATGAACTTATTGAACATTCCTCTATCGTAGCCATGCAATAGTGCTGTTGTCTGGGAGAGGCCAAGTTCCAAGCATTCCAAAATATCTATTTCAGCCAGCTTACCTTCGATAGTACTTATTCTTTCTGGAATTGTTGCTGAAATCTCCAATTGTTTGTACAAATCTTCTGAAATATTTCTAAGGTCCTCTTCGCACCAAATCATCAGTGTTTCCAATTCTTGTGGAATATCTATGTTGTCCTTTTTCCATTTACTCCATTTTTTTCTCAAATATATTGGAATACCTTTCAAATTATTAAATGCATCTACTGGGAACGGTATCACTTTATTGTTCGTGCACCACTCCTTTAGTTCTTCTGAAATATTCTTTTCCATTTGCCACCGCTCCAATGGTTTCAATACCTCTTCAGCATTATCTGGCCTCCCCTCTTTCCATTGAACCAATTG